ACTGCAGAATCCACAGGAATTCGGAGCCGGGGGCTCCTGCTGTACAGGACACAGAATGAGAAGATGAAGCCACCACCCCGTATGTCCCAGGTCTTTGTCAGAGGATGAAACACTGACATTTCAGGAGGGAGGAAGACCCTTGCTGCTATCATGGCCCTTAATCCTGAGGTTAGGGAGCCAAGATGGGGTTCCTGTAGGGGTCTGAGAATATCCATCCCAACCATGTCCACCCACCCTGCTCAGGGAGCCTCCTGGAGGGAAAGCACAAAGTCTAGCTGGGCTCGGGGCAGTGCCAGGGCTCCCTGCCCCCGGCCTCCTGGGAAGCACCAGCTCGCAGAGGGACCAGCTCATGCCTGCTCTGATACCTGGTAGTCCCTGGCAGCTTGGGGGCTTCCTTCTTTCTGAGGCGTGGTCTCCTGGTTAGAAGTTCCAGTCCTCCTGGGGAAGCCAGGTGAAGGCTCCTGGCTCCCCTCAGGGCCTCCCAGCCTCCTTTCCTGAGGGTCTGGGTTGATAACTAAGTTTGGAAATCCCTTGAGGGGTTGAGGTTCTAGAGTAGTGGTTTCAATGGTAGGGGTGCTTCCCTGGGGAGCATTTCAAAATGCCTGCAGACATTTATAGTTGTCACGGCCAGGAGCAGGGAGAGGGGTTCTGCCAGCATCTGGTGGGCAAAGGGAAGGGTGCTGCCAAGCATCGTAGGATGCACAGAACAGTGCCCTCCCTTGCTCCCCCTCCCCCACAGAAACCCCAAAGAATTATCTAGCCCAAATTGTCAGCAGTGCCAAGGCTCAGAATCCTGTCCTCGAGGGCTTCAGTTAGCACCGAAACCCTTGGGAGCTGGTTTAAAATGTGAAGTCTAGAACCCCCTATGTGACACTAAACCCATTGGGTGAAGTGTGGGACCCATGGAACCCATACTTTCAAGCATTCCAGATTATTCTATTACAGGAGACTGTACTCCACTTGAGAAGTAGCACTGCAGGCTGCACCCGGTGCATGAAGCCCAAACGCTGGCCCTGGGTGGGTCTGCCTGCGGGAGAGGCACCTGGAGAGCTGGCAGAAGTCCCCGCCTCCTTCATCCCTGGAGGTTCTGTCATAATAGACATGACTTCCATCCCAGTATTCCATGGGTTCTTTGGTTTGGTTTGAGAGATTCTTTTTTTTTTTTTTCAATTATTTTTAAGTTGACAAAAATTGCATACATGTAGGTATATAACACATTTTGGAAATGTATGTGGAATGGCTAAATTGAGCTAACAACAGATGCGTTACCTCCCTTTTCATTTTGTGAAATCGACTCTCATCGATTTCCAAGCATAAACACACTGTTGTGTGCTTTGTCACCATGGGTTGCACATTACATTTCTTGGCTTTATTCCTCTTGCCTAACTGAAATTCTCTTATCTTTTGACCAATATCTCTCCCCAAAGAGATTCACATTTAGATTTGCTAACCCAGTATGTGGCCTGAATCCACACAGGACTCTGGTCATCTGCCCTTACATTCCGGTGTTACGGGTCCAGCAAACCTGTGGTGGCCACCAACTGATTCCGTTCCTGGAAGCCCAGAAGTTTATCCACAGGTCACTTCCAGCACACAGATAAGGCCATTAGCCACTCGTCTCATTCCACCTCTGGCTCCTCACTTTTCCAGAATTATCAGCTACCCTATTTCTGTTCAATGCAGCCAAAATTAACTGAGGGCTGTTTTCTGGGGGCTTCAGCAGGGAGTGTGGACCCCATGGTCAGCAGGAACAGCACCTCACTCCCCGCAGCAAGAATCTGTGGCGTCCCTGTGATAGAATGGAATATGCCAGATCTCTCAGGGGTGTTGAGGTAGGAAACAGTTCAGGAAGATGGAACCAGAAGACGGTTCCAGAAGCCTGGGATTGGAGTGGAGAATGGCCAGGCTCTTCGCATGGCCCTTTGGTTTCCGAAGCAGCACCTGGCACCTGTAATTGCTCAATGCTCATAGCCATTGCCACTATGAAATATCACTGAAGGGCGTTTCCTCCAGTCTGTGGTATTGTCTGGAGAATTACTGTGTGGCTCCCTGCCCAAGCCTATGGCTCTAGGGCCACCATCTCTGACCTCAGCACCATCCACCCCCAGCGATGCATAGATTGGACAAGGTCTCGCTGGAGACTTCATCCTGCACACAGGTGCTGCCCTCTATCGGCCACACTCCGTGTGTAGCTTCACTTTTCTTGGCTACCTTCACTTTTTGTTCTCAGTGGCTTTGTCCTCTGTCCCAGGGTGGCCTCCAAGGCCACTTCTCGCTCTGCCACTTGGTATGGTTCAGGGCAGCCCTACTCTCAGCCACAGCCCATTTCCAGAGCTGTTTGGCATCATGTAGGTTCATGGGCATCTGTGTCAGAGGCTGACATTTACTGATGTGTCTCCCATATTGGGGGTGGTGTCAGGGGCAGGTGGGGTTTGAAACTGAGAACTATAAAAGAAGTTGGGTACATAGTGACTGTGTCCAAACCCCGGCACCAAGAGAATGGACCAACCCTAGCACAGCTTCTGGCAGCCCAAAGCAGCATCCCTGGGGCCACCTGGCCACCCTTTGAGTTCCTGTCTGAAAAAGCTCCAGGCTGTCAAAATAATTTAGTGTTTGTTCCTACCAACACCTGACAACAGGCCTCTGACCATCCCCACCGCAACACTTACATTACTTAGAGCACTTACATTAAAAAGGGTTAGAGTCGTACCTCCTTCCCTTGTCCCTTTGAAATGTACATGCATGTCTGTCCAGGAGTGTCTTTCTCAAGACCCTAAGAGCCAGTCCTTTGAAATGGCATCATCAGAAAGGATGGGGCCCATTTCCCAGGCTCTGGGGGAGGACAGAACCTAACTTCCACCACTGCCAGCTGGCACACACAGCTGGCCCAGCCACATCAACACGACAGCCCTTTGTAATATTTCATTCCCATGGTTCCTGAGCCACAGAGTGCCCCTTCCTGACTCCTGCATTCTCCCATTAAACTGTCCGGTTCCCTGCACAGATCTGAACGGAGCTCACCTTCTCCCCTGACAGTCAGTGGTTAATGAATAAGATCTGTTTTCGTAGCTGTAACTATAGTCCAGCTTAGTTTATCTTTGACAGACCCACTTACCTTGCAGGTTCCCACCTCGGGCGTGGAGGGAAACCCTCTGGGAGGAACACGGTCCTCACCAAAGTGTGGGAGACCAGATTGTGCCAGGGAGTGGAGTGGACATGAGCTCTGGGCCCCTCTCCTCTCTCCCAAATGGCTGCACGGGAAGGAAGGATGGAAAATGTGGGAAAGGCCACCCTGCCAGGGAAGGAGCTGCCAGCCCTCGGCAGTCCAGAGGCTGCCCAGAGAGCAGGCAGCAGCTCTCCAGGACTCCTCCTTCCAGGCCTGGAGGATGCTGCCCAGGGGGCTCAGTGAGAATTCAGCCACAGCCACACATTCCAGGAGAGTCTAAAGATGCCACCAATCCAACACCATGGAAGCCAAGAACCCAGAGAGCAGACATGCCCCCTACCCTAATCCTGGGCCAATTCGGATCTTCAGCATCCTGAGCCTGAAGCCCTCATGGTGGGCCTGTGGCGGGCTGGGCATGGCTTCAGAGGTGCAGTGGCAGGAGCTGGCAAAGTGGTTCCCCTAGGCCCAGGGCTGACCCACAGCGACCTGGGAAAAGGGGCGCAGAAGGTTCCTCCTTGTTTAGTTCCTTTTCATCTTTCCAGGCCCAGCTTCACTGGGCCCACGGGGTCCACACCCCTAAGGTCACTGTGTTGCTCACCTCCCACCTGCCCACTCACTCCAAGCCCGCTGCAGTCTGACTTCACTGCCTGTCACCAAAGATGCCAGTGGACCTTGACTTCTTGGGGGTAGAAGACAATGGGGATCTGTGCTACCTCAGCCGCTCTCCTGTTGAACCTCTCGTCTTCCTGAATGACGCTCACCTGGTTGTCTTCTGGCTGCCTGCCACCTCCTGGCATCCTCCATGGGCCCACCTTCACCCGCCTACCCCATGACTTCACACTCCTTGGGGTTCTTTTATGGGTTTTTCTCACTTTGAACCACCTGAGCAACCCACAACCCTCAGGGATCACTGGTTATTTATGCCGATGGCTCCAACTCTGCGTCCTGCAGCCTTAATTTCCTCCTGACCATCCACCCCACCCATCCAACCACTACCAACACTTCTACTGGGTGCCCTGGACACATGTGACTCAGCAGGAAGCAAAGGGAAACTTAGCTCCTGCACGTGCTCGGACCTGCCCTACCGCGCTCCCCTCCACTGCGCAGCCTCGGTCTCTGGGTCACCACCATGCAGCTCCCTCGCTTCTCTGTCCTCACCACATACACCAGGGGCCCTAATAAAGATGTCAAACCAGCCTGCCATCTACTGTGCAGCTTGTAGAGATCATGCTAGAAATCCAACTGGCCATGTCACGGCCCTGCTTTAAATCTCTTTCGTGGCCCCCATGGCCCTCGGGATCCATCCAAGCTCCTCAGCTGGCTTTCGGCCCTCAGTGATCTGAAGCCTCCACTGTGCACCTCCCAGTCCCGCCCCAACCTCCTATCCCTCCTGGGAAGTTCTTCCAGCTCTGCCCATGAGCTGCCGGCTGGGCTGGAGTGCTGGGCTCCCTCTGCCCACCTCCCCACTGGCCCTGCAGGAAGCCATGCAGGCACATCCCAGCCCTAGGATATTTAATGAGGCAGGCCTTGGAGCCACTGGGGACCTGCTTCACTGCTCAGCTCCAGGAGTCCTCCACTCTGTCCTCTGGGGCCCAGACGAGTGGTGCTCCAAGCTGCACTTGAACAAGTCCTCTGCCTTCCTGCCAGGCCTGGTTGGTTCTCTGCCAAATCTGGCAGTCAGCAGGGGCCCGAATTTTCCTCCAGATCTCAGAGTAGACAGCAGCTGCTGGGACCCTTTCCTGCTCCCCAGACCCACCCACCGAAGAAACAAGAATCAGGTGGGTTGAGGGGGGACCTGCACACAGGCAGAGGCCAGGGCTTTGTCACCAAACAGTAATCTTTTCATCACCATTATTTATTAGACATGAACCAGGTTTATCAGCACAAGTCACACTCAGCACCGTCACCCCACAGGAGTGGCTACAGAGGCCGGGAGAGGGAGTTTTGGGGGAGGATGTCAATGGGAGGCCCTAGCCTGAGCCCTGAGCAGCTGGCCAGCCTGGACCCAGCATATGAGTGAAACGCATCCTATTCTCTTCCTGCTCCAAAGACAATGCCCGCTAAACCCTAGACAGGGTGGCAGGCCTCATCAGCAGTCCATACAGAAGTGAGGCTGGTGTTTCTTCCCCTGGAGCGGCAGTGAGGACAGGCCCCCGGCTGGGAGCCAGGCAAGGTGGGTGAACTCCGTGTTAACCACACCAGGACCTCAGGTAAGCACGAGGGCAAGGCTGGAGAGGCCCCAGACCCCTGCGTGCTGCTCCCCATTCCTGCCAGGTCAGAATTCTTTACCATCCCTGGCACAGAGCCCAGGGCCGGGGTTGGGGGGCAGAGGGTGGGGCTGGCTCAGGAGCAAGGCTGGGCAGCCCTGCAGAGCTGCTCACACTGCCCCTTCCCTGTCTCTCATCCCAGCTCTGGTCACTTAGATGCTGCCATGAGAGGCTCTGAAGTCTACCCCCGCTGCAACCCGAGGCGGAGCCCAAACCTGCACAGACTGACAGGCTGGGGTGGGGGAGGGGAGAGCTCTACCGAGGGGAGGCCCAGGTGGGAGGAGGCGGAACAGGATATTCTGAGGAGAGGCAGCAAAGGATGCCACATCTAGGGCTGAGGCCATCTGGACCCACATGACTATGTTGCTTTTGTGTGCGAATGTTTCTCTACTTCAACATTTGCAGAAATTTCACATCTAGATGTGTTAGAAAATCAACAAATAATTCCATGCCAGAGAAAAGGCATTGCCTATAACCCAGTAGAGGCCCCAGTTCCCAACAGGCTGGTGGCAGAGCTGCTGACTGGGCAATGACTCCCTGACCTGGGCTGGAGCACCCTCTCCAAGAGGACATATGTCCTCCTCAGGCTGGGCTGAGTCCTGGCATCTGCCCCATCTGTAAAGGGAAAGACCCCACCCTTACCAGCTCCCCAGCAGCATCTCCTTGGGAGAGAGGGCAAACGCCAGAGCAGTGCGGGTATTGGAGCAGGACATCCCCTCAGCCGCTGCTGTGCTCAGGGCTCCCCAGGGCCCGGGCTGGCTGGGAAGACGGGGAAGACTTCCACGAACCAGGCAGGCCCTGCAGGCCGGGTGCCAGCAGGAGGGAGCTGAAGACCAGACACAGCGGTGCGGGGGAGGGTCCAGACGAAGGGGCAGTCAGGGACAGCGGAGCCATGGTCATCCCAAGAGCTTGCACCTGCAAAGCACATCACATGGAAGGGTCCTGACCTCGCAGTGGAGACTCTGTTCCCCTAGCCCCTCCCTGGAGAGCACCCTCGCCCCTGCCCGAATAGTCCTCAGCTTACCCTCTCCCTCTGTCCAGATTAGGGCCCAGGTTATGGCCCTGCCTTGAGGTGAAGTGCTGTGAGGATGGGGGGCTCTGGGAGTGTGGTCCTCATTTCATTCCTGGCAGCCAACGCAGTGCCAAGCAGGAAGGGAGTCGATGCTCAGTCCCCTCCCTGCCTTTTTTCCCCACAAAATAGATGCCTGAATCCCAACAAGAACTCACACCACAGCCTTGTCTTTCCCCTCTTCCCCACCCACACCCCTCACCCACACGGTACCTGGGTGGGGGTGGCAGGTCACTCCCACAGGAAGCGGACATACCAGATGGTCTCATTCTTCAGCTGGGGCCCAAACAGGGGGTTCAGCTGCGCCAGGATGGCAATGAGCCAGCTGCCGGGGACAGCAAAGCGTGGTGAGCCGGCACAGGAGGGTCCTCCCTTACCCACAGGGGAGGCCTTAGTCTCACTCTTTTGGATGCGACCAGCCCAGCGGATGGCGGGGCCTGTGTTCTCAGGGCAGACATGCCCAGGGAATCATCCACACTCTGGCAGGTGCGTGGGGTTGGTATGGCACTTGTGGGTTTGGTTTGATTTGATGTTCAGTAGATCTGTAGGTCAGCCCCGAGCTAAGGCTGGACCTGGAATCAGGGAAGAGGGGAGGCAGCTTCGGGGGCGCTTTGGGAGCGACTCCCAGCTATGCCCTCAGACATCTCTGTTTGGGTCCCCAGACTCCACAAACCAGGGAGTGATCAGGGCGGGCCTGGCAGGCAGCACATCAGAATCACCTGCCTTAGGAGGGAGGTGAAGGAACTATTCCAAGACATGAGGAACGGAAGGGTCAGGGGCCTCCTGCCCAGGCTGCTGCCAGGCCACCTCTGTTCTTCAGGCCAGGAAACCCTCAGGGACTTGACCTCCCTGTCATCACTGCTGGACGTCTGGGTGGCTGTCTGGCCCCGTCACTCATGACACACCTCCCAACCTCATTTACCACGGTAGTTGGTAGGTCTCCACGCTCTGACAGTGCCTGATTTGGAAGGGCCCCCAAGACCACATTCACACTGCTTTGTCTGTTTCTGTAGGAAGGGTTGATATTTTTCCCTTTGAATCCCCCACAGTAGCTAGGAGGGCCTAACGCCCAGGAAGCCATCAGAAATCACTACCTGCTTTACGTCAGCATTCTCTCCAAGTTTATGTTTTGGAAATATAATTTCTAGGCGTGACATTTTCTTAGAATGGCCCCACCTTTCTACCTGTATGCATCCAATTTGCAGCGTGTTTTCTGTTTCCTGTATGTTGATTCGGTTGGTATATGGGATTACCCCATATCTTGTGTAGACCCCAGCTCCCCCACCCTCCCAGCCACCAAACCCAAGCCCCTCTGAGGCCCGGCTATGGCCAGATAAGGATATCTTGTCAAGCCCTGAAGGACCTAGAAATAGCATTAGAGGCCGGGCGCGGTGGCTCAAGCCTGTAATCCCAGCACTTTGGGAGGCCGAGGCGGGTGGATCATGAGGTAAAGAGATCAAGACCATCCTGGTCAACATGGTGAAACCCCATCTCTACTAAAAATACAAAAACATTAGCTGGGCATGGTGGCGCGTGCCTGTAATCCCAGCTACTGAGGAGGTTGAGGCAGGAGAATTGCCTGAACCCAGGAGGCGGAGGTTGTGGTGAGCCGAGATCACGCCATTGCACTCCAGCCTGGGTAACAAGAGTGAAACTCCGTCTCAAAAAAAAAAAAAAAAAAAAAAGAAATAGCATTAGAGAAAGGGCCTTAGAGATGCTCTGTCCAGGGAGAACTTTGAACAAACCATGTGTTTAAGTTAAACCATGTGTTAAGAGTCATCATTATTTCTAACACGTTTAGTTTTTGTCAGTAGGCGGTATTATACATTTCTGGATGCAGTGGCATGTGCCTGGAATCCTGGCTACTCAGGAGGCTGAGGTGGAAGGATCGGTTACACTAAGGAGTTCAAGTACAGCCTTAGCAACATGGCAAGACCCTGTCCCTACAGAAAATGTAAAAATCAGCCAGGCGTGGTGGCGCACACGGCTATGGTCAAAGCTAGGCTGAGGTGGGAGGATGGTTTGAGCCCAGAAGGTTGAGGATGCAGTGAGCTGTGATCCCACCATTGCACTCCAGGCTGGGCAACACGGCAAGACCCTGTCAACTCACTAACTAATTAACAGCCAGGTGCAGTTCCATACACCTATCATCCCAGCTACTTGGGGAGGCTGAGGCAGAGGATCATTTGAGCCCAGGAGTTTGAAACCATACTAGCCTGGTCACAAGACCCCATTTCAATCAATCAATCAATCAAACATAAGGTAAAATAAGAGAATTGATTAATACGAATAAAGAATCCATGACCTAATCAGATAAGACAGTTTTAACTATAACATGCATCAAATTTGAAATCAATCAAGTAAAGTTTTTAAAAGTGGGTTTTGTCTATGCATTTTGAAAAATCTGGCAGCTCTAAAAAATATTCCAGTTGCTTTCAAAAGAATCTGTTACCTCTTAAAGAGTCAGCATCTCATCACTTCACCTGGCCTGTTTTGATTGTTCTGAATTAAGAACACCCAACCACGCCAAGCTTAACCCATAAAAATAATGTATAAGACATAGGAAGCTGGGAAACCCCACAGCCTTAATGAAGCTTGATTAATCACGAGACAGGCCTCCCCACAAACTAGAACTTGAAATTATCTCTTAGGTGGCAGCCAGGATCATCCAAACATGGAGCAGTGTGACAGCAGAATTGTGATGGATGTGGGGGCAGTTTTTTTTTTTTTTTTTTTTAGACGGAGTCTCACTCTGTTGCCAGGCTGGAGTGCAGTGGTACGATCTTGGCTCACTGCAACCTCTGCCTCCTGGGTTCAAGAGAGTCTCCTGCCTCAGCCTCCAGAGTAGCTGGGACTATAGTGCATGCCACCACGCCCAGCTAGTTTTTGTATTTTTAGTAGAGACAGGGTTTCACCATTTTGGCCAGGCTGGTCTCAAACTCCTGACCTCGTGATCCACCCACCTCGGCTTCCCAAGGTGCTGGGATTACAGGCGTGAGCCACTGTACCCAGCCTCTCACTTAGTGGTTCTAAGCTGGCTGCACTCCAGTCACCTGAGGCCATTCATGAACAGGAATTCCCAAGTGCAGACCTCAAGAGCTGTAATTTCATGGGTCTAGGGTACAGCCTGAAAACTGTGTTTGAACAATCACTTCAGGGACCCAGTCAGGCACAGACAGCACTGAGGTGGCCCAACTCCTTCCTTGCCCAGGTGAGAAAGCTGCAGCCCATGGGGGCCAGAACACTGGGGGTAATAGCCAGATCCAGAGCCCAGGGTTCATGACTGCTGACCTGCTCTCTTTCCCATTCCATACCACCTCCACTCTTGTTGTTTTATAGGTTCAGCCTTTCAAGAGGTGTTCACTATCAGGACAGATGGAAGAGCAGACTAGGGTGAGGAGGAAAGGAGGGAGGACAAAGGAACTGGCTGATTTTGAGCTGGGGAGAGTAGTACTTACAAGAGGTAACAGCAGACGGCGGTGGCGACCAGCATGGTGATGATCACTCTGCAGCAGAAGAGGACACGGGTCAGGACAGATGCTGCCAGCACCCTCACAAGGCCTGGCCAGGGCCAGAGCAAGAGCTCCTGGTGTCAGCTCTTCTCCATTGGCCTTCCTGATGCCTCCTGGACACAGGAGGCTGAATTCTACTCAGGGTAAGAATGGCAAGCCAGAAAATAAAAACTGAAAGTGTCAACTCACGGAGCGGCCAACCTTGACTACATCCAAGTTGTCTGAAGAGTCCTTCCCTTCAACTGGGTGTGGTGGCTCATGCCTGTAATCCCAGCACTTTGGGAGGCCGAGACAGGCGGATCACGAGGTCAAGAGATCAAGACCATTCTGCCCAACATGGTGAAACCCTGTCTCTACTGAAAATACAAAACTTAGCCAGGCGTGGTGGCACGCACCTGTAATCCCAGCTACTCGGAGGCTGAGGCAGGAGAATTGCTTGAACCTGGGAGGCAGAGGTTGCAGTGAGCCGAGATCACGCCATTGCACTCCAGCCTGGTGACACAGCGAGACTCCATCTCAAAAAAAAAAGAGTCCTTCCTTTCATCTCCCTTCACCACCACCCAGTATTTCTCCATCTTAAAGCAGATGTACAGCAGAAAGGCATTGCACAGAGCTGCGTTTGTGGTGACCCACCAGGGAGTGGTCTGTGGAATTCAAAATTCATGGGGCAAGGAGAAAAAAAAAGGCTAGAAGACAGGGCAAAAAGCAGGGAGACTGTGAGCCACTTCTGAGGCACAGTAAGTTGTTACAAAGAGAACAGAGACTGGCCACTTTGTGTCTACTCAAAGAAGACCAGAAACAGAGGCTTCAAGTGCAGCAAGAGAAATTTCAGTCAAACGGAAGCAAGAACTCACCAGGATTAGCAGGAGAGGCAAGACATGAAAATGTCTCACAAAGTGAAGCTGTGAGATGCCAAGCCCTGAATGTCTTTAAGAACAAAGGCAGCACTCATATGTCCAAGCAGCCTTTGGGCAAAGCTAACTCTAATGCAAACCAGGCCCTTGATCTCTGATCTAAAGCCCTGCAAGCGGCTGCTGGAGACGGGGGCACTCGATCCCTTTTTCAACATTACTAAGCAGCTTGTGCCAGTCCTGGCTGGGCACTGGGTAGACAATGGTGAATTGGACAAACTCCAGCCTCCGATAAGCAGAAACTGAAGAACAGCGTAGCAATCTGCTAGAGGACCTTCAAGAAATAACGCCAGCTAGGCCGGGCGCGGTGGCTCACGCCTGTAATCCCAGCACTTTGGGAGGCCGAGGCGGGTGGATCACGAGGTCAAGAGATCGAGACCATCCTGGTCAGCACGGTGAAACCCCGTCTCTACTAAAAATGCAAAAAATTAGCTGGGCATGGTGGCGCGTGCCTGTAATCCCAGCTACTCAGGAGGCTGAGGCAGGAGAATTGCCTGAACCCAGGAGGCGGAGGTTGCGGTGAGCCGAGATCGCGCCATTGCACTCCAGCTTGGGTAACAAGAGCGAAACTCCGTCTCAAAAAAAAAAAAAAAAAAAGAAATAACGCCAGCTAAACTATGTGCAGTGCACTCATAGGTGTTTTAAATACGTTACCGCAGGTCATCCTCATAGCAGCCTTTTAAGGCAGGAGTCGACATTATCTCCTTTTACCCATGAAAAAACTGAGGCTTGATATTGGCTCCAGGTCACGCAGCTAGCAAGGAGTGAAGAAACGGCGTCAGTGCCCACCCATGCCCTTTACTGGCTGCAGGAGGGGTGACAACATCTCCAATGTCACTCTCCTCTTTACCTTCTGTATCTGCCCTCTCGCCCCACCTCCTGCGTGTTCCCGGCTGTCTGAGACCGAGGTGCAGAGATCTCAGAGGAGGCGTCCGGGATCCTGGCGTCCCTCCTGGGGACGCTCGGGCTCGCTGCAGGGCAGGAAGCCAGCGCCCCGGGGCGGAGGGGCAAGTCCGGCCAGGGGCCGGAGATAGAGAGGTCTCCAGGGCCTGCGAGCCTTTCTTACCCGCGGTTGGGTCCCTTCGGCACGAACCAGGGCCCAGCGATGCCGATGAGGCCCCAGAACGTGGTGAAGATGATGACCGGGAGGGCGAAGGAGTGCGCAGTCATGGCCGGGTGCGGGATGCCCAGGCGGGATGCAGGGCCGAGCGAGCCGAGCGACGGGCGCTGCAGATTCTCCAGTCCCCGGCTGGGCAGCGCGCTGAGCATGCGCCACAGGAGTCGCGCCCCCGAGGCGGTCAGCCGGGCCGGTCTGCGCACGCGCACATCCTGACCCAGCCCGCAGAGCTGTCACTCAGGGCCTGCCTAGGACCCCACTCGCTGATTGGCAGAGCTGGGCCACCGACCAAGAGAATTGCCGAGATTGAGGGGCGCGGCCTTCGCGGGTCCGCTATGTTGCTCTGTGGTACCCGTCTGTCCCGCCGCGTTATTTTCAAAGGCCCGTGGAGCTTGAGGTCCCACCCCAGAGGTCCTCTGGGGCGCCCTCTGCCCGTCACGCGCCGCGCCGGCTTGGCCCGAAGCGCCCTGGGGACCCGCAGCCTGCGCTGCTTGGAACTTGACGGCCCCACGGGGGTCGGACGCGGAAGGAAGGGCCTCGCCCTCGGAGACGCTGCAGGAGGGCGGTCCCCGCCGTCTCTCTGGCCGGGTCCTCAGCCCGAGTTCTCCCCACACCGGGGACTAGCAGGGCGGCGGGCGGCGCAGCCGGAAAGGCGCGAGCGCGCTGAGACGTTTGGGGGAAGGCGGGGCTTCGCCGGACCGGAGGGTCTCGGTGGCTGGAAGTGAGTGAGGTTGGGCCGACCGCGCCGGCGTTCGGAGCCCCGGCGGGAGGCGAGAGGGCTGGCGTCCTCGCGGACATCCATCTGCAGCGAACCCGGCAGAGGCTTTGGGATAGATCCCTGACTCCTTGGGTCAGTAGCTACAGTTTAACTATAAAAATGGGATGGTCGTTCTCACAAGGTTGCTGAGGGGTTACGTGACTCGGCATGTGGAAAGCACCTAGCATAATAAGGGTCGGTAGTTTCTGCCATCAGGGCTGGAAGAGACCTCGGAGCCTGGATTCCTTCTAGGGCGTTTGGATCTCACATATCCCTTTGAGATAGGAGCCAGTACAGGGCCTCACGGCCGCAGACCTAGGCACCGACATCGTGCAGTGACCTAGGTGCCGCCATCACAGAATGAGACCCTGAAACAACTTAGGCGTAACTGCAATTCTCAGAACTGTAATTTTCCATTGCTTCTATTTCCCCATAAACCCCTGACCTTGGCATCTGTACAGACTGCTTGTTTGCATAACTCCCGCACTCCTGGAAACAGGATGTGGGTTTTCAGCTTAAAAACCCTGCTCCCCTTGAATACGGGGCCACGGGTTGGAGAGACACGAGTCCTCCGTGGTCGCCCGCAATAAAGACCCTGTAATTGATTTGGACCTCTTTTGTCTTGGGGTGATTTCTTGCTTGCTCAGTTACATTTGGCAGCCCCAATGAGATTTTCCAGCATCACTCAGACAAAATCCCTGGAGTCTCGCCCACGTGACCGTCCCCACCCCAGGGATGTCTAGGGGAGGCGCTCCCTGAGACGTTCCAGGGCCCCAGAGTTCTGGCCCGTGGCAGAAGGGCGACTACTCCGCCGACATTCACCCAAAATTCCTCAGGGTCCCAGGAACCTCTGGAGGTAAGTCAGGTCTGGAAATCGGGGGACAGGTCTGTCAGGAGCCCAGGTCAGGAGACTGGATGTTTTCGTTAATCTCTGACTAGGCAAGCCTACCGTGAGATGTCACTGGAGGCTTGGGTAATTCAGTTTTCGGTTGTCTTCCATAACCTCTGTGTGAGTATGAGAGTGAAAGTGTGTATGTGTGGTTCCACGGCCAGAGGGCTACGGGGCCTGTGTGGGCCTTCACCCTCAGTTCCACGGAGACACCATAGGGCATAACAGTGATTCCCCTCCACAGTGACCAGGCCTGGAGTTTATACAGGTACACCAAGACGCTCTGAAATATCCCTCCAGGAATGTGCCCAGGCAGACATCAGACTGGTCTCCCACGGGGGACACCCACTCTGTGTCCTCTTTTCATGTGGTCCTGTCTTCTTTGTGGGTTTTCTAGTTTCCTAAGACATTTGTTAGCAGACCTGCAGTGGTTTAAACCTGCTTCTCTAGGGCCAGATTATGCTCTTAACTGGTTAAATGACCATTGGGCTCAGGGGACTTTGGCCGAATTTTGGCCCCTAGAAATAACCTTGTTCTCCTTCCTCTTCTAAAATTACGTCCTTGGCAACTCGAGTGTAGTTCGTTCTCTGTCCATGAAAATAAAACACTAAAAGGCTGTATAAAGTGTAGTAATAGGCTCCCCTAGGCTACCCAGATCAGTTTCCATACCTTGACCAGTGGCTAGTCTTAGTTCAGCAGCCCCCTTCTTGACTTAAATGCTGCATAAAGCATGCTGGGTTACAAGTTATGCTGGTTACAAGTTATGCCTAAGAAAGCCCCTTTGGCACCAGCCATACTCCCCAGCAGAAGATCGATAATTACCTCCACCCTACTCAAGGCTCCCGGAACTGAGGCCTCAGCATCCCGTCCTGGACAGCATCAGTAACCAGCTTTTGTCCCAACACACCCGTAGCGGGGCTCCACACCGGCAGTTCTTCCCCTCCGAGAGGCGCCCCCAGCGGGAGGAGACAATCGAGGTCGTCCATTCTTTGTCCACATTCCCTTCTCTTCAAATAATTTATATAACTGGAGGGTTTAACATCCCTGGTTCTCTAAAAGCCCCTGGCTTTGACAGGGCTCTTAAAAAGTCTGAACTCCAAACTCATCGTCCCACCTGGGATAACTGGGTAGAATTAGGCAGGAACTCCTTAAGGCCATCATAGGTCCAGGGGGAGGCACAGTAGAGGAGAACCAGGGACCAAAGTGAAGAGATTTTTTCCCTTTTCCCGGCCCTAATGGGACCTCAATACCTCGGTGGGGAGGTCACCAGGCTCTAAACACTTTTCACCGGTATCTTCTAGCAGGGATTAAGGGAGTGGCCAGGAGATCCGTGACTTAAACAACTGTGAGGAGTCTTAAGAAGGTACACTCCCCTGTCACCAGACTTTATTGAGGGTCAGTGAGTACTAGGGGACAAGTTTAGTACCCAGTCAGCAGCAAACATCAGGAGGAAGCTTCGGAAGTGGGCTTTGGGACTAGGAACAGAGTTTAAACTTACTGCTAACCAGACAACCTCAGTGTTCTACAATAAAGACCAAGAGGGAAAGGACGAGGGAAACAGGAGAGATCAGAAAAAGGCTGCTGCCCTAGTTAAGGCCTTCAGGCAAGCGGACCCCAGGGGCTCAAATATGGGATGGGCTCAAGCTATCTGCTGGGCTGGCAACACTTCACATCAACTGTCCCCAGAAGAATGGGCCAATACCTCATCTGTACCTGCTGTGCCAACGGGATCACTGGAAAGCACTCTGTCCCGGGGGTAAAGGTCCTCAGGGCCTGAGGTGTCTAACCAAATGACCCAATAGCAGGACTAAAGGTGCCCAGGGCAAGCGCCAGCTCAAGCCATCACATCCAAAGAGCCCCAGGTAATGCTGATCACAAGGGGCCAAGTTAAGCTCCCCCTGGACACTGGCTCAGCCTTCTCTGTATTGCTCTCTGACTCTCCTTGTAACTCTACCAGCCCCAGTTCTGCCTCCCACTCCTAAGTACTCCACAAGTGACAGCGATTTTGCTAAGAACAAGATGCCACACAGGACCCCACAGGGTGGTGGATTTTGCCAGACCAAAGGATTGTGGTCCCCGAGGCTCTAGGACAGGCCCTGGTTAAGGACACACACCAGGCCACTCACTTAGGACAGACCAAACTAACTGAACTGCAAAAGCCAAGTAGTATATGCCCCATTTGCATGAACTTGTCAGGGAGATCACTACTTGATGTGAAGTGTGTGCCCGAGTAAACCTGGGAGGGAACAGATACACCCAGGTAGGAGTAAGACTCAGAGGGACTAGCCCTGGAGAGCACTGGGAAGTAGACTTCACTGAAATAAAACCTCCAGTAAATGGCTATAGATACCTCCTTCTGTTTGTAGATACATTCCCTGGATGTGTAGAGGCCTTCCCCGCTAAGTCTGAGACTGCCCTGGTGGTTGCAAAAAAACTATTACAGGATTGTTTTCCTCGATTCGGCCTCCCCCTAATGCTGGGATTGGAAAATGGGCCAGCCTTTACTGCACAAATTTCTGAGCCTAGCCAAGGCTCTGGGTTTATCCTGGAAATTACACTGTGCCTATCGTCCCCAGAGTTCAGGACAGGTTGAGCGAATGAACCGGACCCTAAAAGAAACCCTGACAAAGTTTATCCTGGAAATGGGCAAAGACTGGGTCAGCCTGCTCCCTTTTATCCTCCTCTGTGTCCCATGCACACACCATCAAAAAGGCTTCTCTCCTTTCAAAATCATGTTTGGTAGGCCCCCACCCTTACTCCCCAGGCCCACGGACACCGTGCATGCTGAAGTCCGTAACCATGTACTCCTTAAGTCCTTACAGGCACGCCAGTCTGTTCAGTCCCAGGTGCACTGGCTCATCAAGGACACCCGTCCTACCTCAGTGGACCTCGCAGACTAGCCGACACGCTCCTTCCAGCCTGGAAACTCTTTCCTTGTTAAAAGATTCGCCACCTCCTGCCTGGCCCCCCACCGGAAGGGACTGTACACCGTTATCCTGACCACTCCCACCACACTCAAAGTGGACGGATTGGCGGCCTGGATTCATCACACCCACGTCAAGACTGCCCCAGCAGAAGAACGATGGAGCATCGACCACTTATCCTCAGATCCACTAAAGCTAAGACTTGTGTGCTCTTTGCGGTTACCACCCTCGCCACCTTAATCCGTGCTGTAAAACCCTATGGCAAACCCCTCTTAGAACCCACCTACTATCAATGGGTCCTCACCGAGGGCTCCACTGGAGAATATGTTAGTTCCTTGACTGGGAAGGGATCCACCCTAGTCAACATAACCCTAAAGGACATTCCAAAGACCCCCATTACCTTCTCCCTAGACCTCTGTGCCCTCCTGGGCCCAAACCTGAATTTCAGAACAAGTGGAACTGTAGCCGGGTGCGGCAGTTCAGGGGCAGAGAAACAACTCCAGACCATGGGATTATATCTGTGCCCAGCATCCACCTCACAAAAAAGATGGAACTGTGGAAACTTAAATGAGTTTTTTTGCCCCCATTGGGGCTGTGAAACTATCTCCACTATATCAGGGTACACCAAAAACACAGACTCCTTCATTTCTTTTAACCGAGACTCTCCCCCATCCCCGTGCTACACCGGGTCTTGTAACCCACTCAAGATAACCATAACTACCCCCGATGGTAAATGGACAACGGGGCGAACCTGGGGTCTCAGGGTATATATGTCTGGGTGGGACATGGGAAACATTTTTACCATCCAGCGAGTAACCCTGCCCCAACCCAACCACCCTACAGGACAAAATGCGGGGGTCATACAACACTCCCAAAGCCCCCCCCCCAAACAACACAGATCCTCCTCCTTCACAACCCCAGTTCTAACCTCCCCTACAACCCGACTACCCTCGCCTCCTCCCTCATCACCCTAGCCCTGACCGTGGAGGATGTGAACCTGTTAAACTTGTCCTCAACCCACCACCTCCTCAATCAGTCTGACCCAGAGTTGGGAGCAGACTGCTGGCTTTGCCTGAACCCGCAACGGCCGTTCACTGGCCTAGCAGCCTGACTACCAGCAATCCCGTCCAGTTCCCCGTTCACCCTGACCACGCTCCATCTGACTCTGGGGGATCTGGAGGGATCCGGAGAGTGTTACTACTCCCCTGATTACAGTTCAGAGAACCCCTATGAGCTGTGTTGTAACACCTCCCATACTATAAGCTATAATAGAACCAACCCCTACTATCAGGCCCCCAACACCACCTGATTAGCCTGTATGTTTGGCCTTACCAACTGTATTTCCACTTTCCAAGTTAATCACACCATACTCTGTACTCCAGTGCACATCCTCCCCAGGGTAATCATCTAAGATGGTCAGCAGGGGCTCCATCTCCTGGCCCCCTCAGACACAACCACCCGATGGAAGCGATTACCCCTTGTCATGCCCCTGCTGGTGGGATTGGGCATTGCTGGCTCCACTGCAGTGGGAATATCGGCCCTCACAACCGGGGACCAAAACTTTAAAACCCTTTCTCAATACATAGACACTGGTATAAGCCATTTAAAAAACTCCGTATCTCAACTCACTGATCACGTTGAGTCTCTAGCTGAGATGATTCTTCAAAACAGGCGGGGATTAGATGTACTGTTCCTAAAACAGGGAGGTCTGTGTGCTGCCCTTAATGAACAATGTAGCTTCTATGCTAATAGGTCGGCCTCATTCAAGAAAGCCTTTCCTTGGTCAGGCAGAATCTCGAAACCTGAAAACGACTTCGGGAAGCATCAGAAAGTTGGTATCAGAAAATGTTTTCCTGGTCACCATGGCTCACTTCCCTACTCACGGGTATGGCAGAGCCCCTGGTCCTGCTCCTACTAGGTCTCATGTTCGGCCCCTGCCTCTTAAATCAACTAATCAAGCTAATACAGGCCAGAATAAACTCTGTAAAACTAATGGTTCTAAGGACTCAATATGAGCCCCTGCAGCAAACCGCTCAGTCAGTACTGGTGGAAGAATCAATGATTTGACTCATGTACGAAAAGACAGAGGGGAATGAGATAGGAGCCAGTACAGTGCCACACGGCCACAGACCTAGGCACCGACATCGTGCAGTGACCTAGGTGCCGCCGTCTCAGAATGAGACCCTGAAACAACTTAGGCGTAACTGCAATTCTCAGAACTGTAATTTTCCATTGCTTCTATTTCCCCATAAACCGCTGACCTTGGCATCTGTACAGACTGCTTGCTTGCATAACCCCCACACTCCTGGAAACAGGATGTGGGTTTTCAGCTTAAAAACCCTGCTCCCCCTGAATACGGGGCCATGGGTTGGAGAGACATGAGTCCTCCGTGGTCGCCCGCAATAAACACCCTGTAATTGATTTGGTCCTCTTTTGTCTTGGTGGTGATTTTTTGCTTGCTCAGTTACAACACCTTCTTCTGTGGCAATCAAAAATCTCCATCTTCTGTAGAGATCCCTTTTACAGATCAGTGACCTCCAGGCAGCATCTCTAGCAGGAAGTGCTACCCCAAGCAGCCAGCCACACATGTTCCCTGGCTTAATGACATGAGAAGGCGCAGCCCCCACGTGATGCAGAAGGGAAATCTGCCTGTCCTTGCACTGGCCCTGTCAGCGATGTGTGCTCCTGGCTGCTTTCTGAAAGCAAGAACCAGTCACATCCGCCCTTCCCTGTTCCCTAGTTGAGACCTCCATGTCTATCCTTTCAACATTCATGCAAGTTGGAGGCGGGTGTGGGGTGACACCAAAATGTTAGATATAAAATACCATCCTAGCCTTCAAGGGTTTTCTAAAGTAGTTGAGGAGTGATATATTCCAGTAAAATCATAATGCTGGCCAGCTCATTTCTAAGAGCCCTGTGATCAAAGTAGCCAAATGCCCATTATGAGAACTCAAAGGGTGGAGAAATCAGGGAAGACTCCCTAGAGGAGGTGAGATTTTAGCTGGATTGTAAACAATGGTTATCATTGTCATCCAGAGTATGCCTTAGTGAGAACGCTGGCCTATAAGGTGCACTTGGCATCCAGGAGATAGAGTTAACAGGATGTCCATGCAGGCCTTCAAAAGATCACCACGAAAGTTTGCACCTGAAAAAAGATGAACTTTTCTGAATTTTGTTCAGAAAAAAAAAACCAAATTCCTCTGTTTAAAATGACAGCTGTAGAGTGAAATGTATTTCCTTCTTGCCTCTGCTCCTTTGTCTTGGTTTTGGCCAGAACCAAAACAGTGCTGAGTCTGAGCAGCCATTCATGTTAGCTGCCAGTAGCTCTTACTGTTTTCCTTTAATGTCTTTGAAGTTTGATTTCTGTCCAATCTGCATGTGATTGCTAGTGTCATTTGTTTGACAGCCTTGTGTAGGGTTAATATAAGAAAAGTCATGCCCAGTGTTTGCTCTAAGTTTCTTGGACCTTGGGAACTAAAGTTATCATTTCTTTGGCAGTAAGCCTGGGGCATTAGGAGCTCATGATGACCCTGGCTTATGTCCGAGGAGCCGGGAATCTGGCCAATTCCCATCTCTTCGAGAACCGTAAACAAAGCCAAGGATTGCTGTTACATAATGATAAGGTTCGTGAGAGACAAGACAAAGAGCAGCTGGTGTTTACTTTATGACCTAAGTTGAACTGCAACATATAAAATATAGACAAGAACCAAAGAAAGAAGGAAAGAGGGAAAAAGAGAGAGAGGAAGAGATTGCTGAGAGCTGTGACTTGCGCCTTGCCAGTGCTGCTGTAACGCCGGTGCTGAAGAGAGGGAGAGAGAGAGACAAAGAGATTGCTGAGAGCTGTGACTTGCGCTTTGCCCGTGCTGCTGTAACGCCGGTGCTGAAAAGAGAGTGCTTAGAGTTCTGACTTGTGTTTTGCCCGTGCTGCTGTAACGCCGGTGCTGAGTGTCCGGACGGACGGTCTCTGGGTATGTCCCTTTTGTAAATAAAATCCTCTTCTTTTACCTTGTTATTCTCGGCTTGGTGTTTTCTTCTCGCGAACCTGCCTCCAAATTATAAATCCGAGCTCGGTATCATTCCTGTTCTTAGTAACAGAACACCTTGTGATAGTCTGAGGTCCATGAAGGGATTGAAACCAGGAACTGGCTCCTTTTCCAACCACTAAAGCCTCATCTGGGCCACAAGCTCTGGCTGCTCCCTGCAGCATGACTGGAAGATATGAGCAGCTCAGGGCTGGAACCCCATTTCCAGGTGTAAACTGTTCATCTGATCAAGCAGCTCCCCAAAATAGAGTTCCACAGTACCACCTATTTATTTTCTTCTTCTTTTTTTTTTTTTTTTAGATGGAGTTTCACTCTTGTTGCCCAGGCTGGAGTGCAATGGCACGATCTCAGTTCACTACAACCTCTACCTCCTGGGTTCAAGTGATTCTTCTGCCTCAACCTCCCCAGTAGCTGGGATTACAGGTGCGTGCCACCACACCCAGCTAATTTTTGCATTTTTAGTAGAGATGGGGTTTCACTGTGTTGGCCAGTAAACTCGACCTCGGGATCTGCCCACCATGGCCTCCCAAAGTACTGGGATTACAGGCGTGCGCCACTGAGCCTGGCCTCACTTATTTATTTTCTTACAACTTTGCTTTTAGCTGAAAGGGATCTTAGAGGCTTTCTAAGCAATCTGCTCACTTTACAGGTGATAAAACTGAGACCCAGAGAAGTGAAGTAAATTGCCTAGGCCCACACAGCTCATGGGTTAAAGAGCCAGAACATATGGCCGAGGCTTCTCCTTCCTAATCCAGTGACTCTTCCACACCCCAGCTCACTCTTAGGGCTTGTGCCCAGGGTGAGGACGATATTTTCAGAGGCACTAATGTGAGGCAAAGGGCCCTGCCTACCCCGGGCTGCTGATGTGGTGCTGTGCATTCCACTGGCTTCGTGGTTCCCCTCTGCCCTGGTGGCTTCTGATTGGTATTGGCACCACTGACTGCACTGCCAGCTCCTCGGTGAGTGCTTCGGGGTGTGATTGACAAGTTTCCATGACATCTCCCAAGAGTGAGGTGCTGATGTTGCTGACATCTCTATTATTCATCCTTTCATATATTTGGGACTGATGAATTCCTAGAAAGGGTAGAAGCAGAAGGAGCCACTGGAAGAGGCTCTTTAAAACTTCCCTGCATCTCCCCCAGTGCGAATGAACAGCAGCCCCGGCACACTTGAGGCTCTAGGAAATCACACCTCAGAGCCACAGACTCTCCCAATACTCTCTGCAGACAGGGCCTGTGTTGGAGTGAGGACAACAGCTCCGGATGTCTCTGTTTGCAAGTAAGGCCTATGACATGGAAGGATGTGACCACCTACCTCCCACCCATTGTTCTGGTGACCATAAGGAGCAGAAGGAACTGTATCAGGATGTGGTAAGAAGGAATTAGGAGCTGGGAGCCTCCCTGGGTGAGGACGTTGGCCCCTTGCTCATTTGCCATCTAATAGGGGTGTCCCCGGCCTGTGGGGTCAGGGAGAACTAGACCCAGAGCATGGTTGTCTCTGTCACTGGTTGAGCCTGTTTTTCCTTCAAGAGCCCCTGGCCATGGGAAAATGTATCATGACAATTGCACTGTTTTATCAGCCCTTGGCACTCCTGAAGTTGCCCTGAAATAAACATTCCTGCTTGTATGCCAGGCCCTGCCTGTTTCAGAGCTCTCAGGTTTACAACTTACCCCCACTGTCCCAGATTGGTGGGGTGAGCCCAGAGCATTAAATGGGTGGTGCAAGTCAGGCTTCAGGACTGATGCAGGTCTACGTGCAGTCAATGTGGGTTAAGGGGTGGTCGGCTCTTTCTCCTTCTGGTGCATGCTGCTGCCAAACCAGAGATCACCTGTAGACTTGAAAGGGAACACGAGATTTGGGTGAAGGATTCCAGCCTCCAACAGAAGCCAAAAGCTACCACTGAGCCAGGTAAGTCTTGATGGAACACCTCTTGCACAAAGATCACCATGTTCATTGAGCCTTTAGTGCCTGCTGGTCTCTGATCAACCCATGAATCGGTATCTGATCAACCGCAGCACTTACGTGGTTTGGATTCAGGTTCTGTACTTCTCTTTGTTTCCCGCCTTTGTGACAGGAGTTTGGGTAACCTGTGAGAAACACAGCCATACCATAAACCTCTTGAGACAAGCTACACTGAGGTGAGGGCAATCAGGCGTGGCTCCTTCAGGAGGGCATGTCTGACAGCCACAGATCTTCGGCTCTGACATGTTCCATCTCAGAAGCCCTTTTCTGAAACCTCCATCGTGTGCTTTCTGATTCTGTACGCAGGAGGAAAATAAAGTATGGATTTTATGATACAGCCCAGCTTGGAGGGATGAAGCAGAAGGTTCTCGCTGCACCTCATGGCAGACTGCTGACGGCAGATATTTAACCAGGTGCACTGAACTGGGCAGTCAGGGAAGGGTCAGCTCCTCCTCTGTCCGGCTCTCTTCATAAGGGACTCTGTGACACTTTTATAAACATAACTTTGATTTCTGCATAAGAAGGCTTCCCAAGCTTGCTGTTTAGCAGTGGCTGCTGCAGGGAATTATTAAAGTGGCAGGAATAGAGCCCTGGCTACCTGAGCCAGGACATTCCCTGCGGGTGTGTTGGAACGAGAGTGGGAGGGGCGCTGGTCAGGAGTCCCTCCCCAGTGCTCTAGGACTTCAGTGTTCTCAGACCAGCTGGGCTGCTCCTCTGGGCTGGGATGCTGACCCACACAGCCCTGGCTGTGGCATCCACAGGACGATGCCCTTGGCAGTAATCTCGCTGGGGCTGGGGACCGGGGGCTGAGCAGGCCACACCAAACAAAAGGAGTGTGTCCCCATCACTAGGCTAACGTCTGAGTTTTCTTTCACAGAATTTGGTAATAAAGTCAGAAATGAGGCCAAAGATGATTCTGGAGGCAATTGGGTCACACGCTCAATTAGAGTGGTCACACACTAATTCCAGAAGCTAAAAAACTCCAAGGCCAGACTGGCCTCTGAGAATGCCTGAGTCCTTTAGATTCCACTGGAAAAGCCACTGATCTGTGCCAAGTGTGTGGAGAGCTTCAAGAGCCATATAGTCCTGGCCACCAGTGAGCACAGTCACATGGGGGAGTAGCCCTGAAAGTGTCCTGGTGTGGCAAAGGCTTTCTACTAAGTGCAGCTCAGATGGCACAGGAAGGCCCTCCTGGGGATGTGGGAGGACACTGCCCAGTGGGTGAGGACTGCTCTTTCAGGTGTGCACATCAAATGTAGAGACAGCCTCTCCTGGCTGCCAAGAAGCCTATGCATGGCCCAAGACCACAAAACACTGGCAAACTGTCACAACCCAGAGGCCCTGTGCCTGTCTGGAGTGTGCTCCATGTGTCTGCGCCCCACAGCTTTTCCTGGCCCGTTGGAGGGCCATAGCACTGCAGGGCTCTTCTGTTGTCACGAGTGCCAGTGCCCTTGGTGGCTGTCCTGAGCGTGGCAAAAAGTTCAAAACAGGACATCTCTGGGCAGCCATTCCTAGGGGTAGAGGGGAGCAGCAGCCATGTGGGTGTGAGTGTGGCAGGAGCTGCAGTCAGAGGCAGCATCTCAAGAGCGCTGGGAGCCGGGGCCGGCCACATGAAGCCCACCAGTGTTGGTGGCATGGGAAAGGGACACAAAGATCATACTGACCCAAAAGAAGGCCCACAGTGAGGGGGCCCCACTGAAGCATCCCCAGCAATGGGGCTGAGGCATCTGAGGCAGCCAGCCCAGTCAGAAAGGCCTGCTGACTGCACTCTGGATGTCAGGAGCACTCAGGAAAAAGACAGGCAGGAGTGCAGCACCTTTTGGGGCCTCAGATGGCTCCCCTCCCTCTATCTCCAGCTGGAGTGATAGAAGAGGCTGCGCTGAGAGCTGCCTCCCTGGGAACCTACCCTGCCTAGCCTGAGATGGGGGCCACCGGCATCATGCTTCCCTAGTGAAATCCATCTGTCTTGAAGGGGACCCTGGAGGGGATCAAGGAGACCCTGTTCACCCCCACCACAGGGTCAGGTCTTCACCGCATGGAGGCCGCACTGACTTCCAGTCCCAAACCTAAAGCCCTGCTGCCTGTGCCTCTGCCATGATAGTTGTTTCAGTGTCTTTTTAAAAAAATCACGTACACTCAAGTAAGGCTGAGTCTCCTTACCAAAGAGATCTGGTGGCATCCCAAGTCTCTGCAAACCTTTGCTGCAATACCACTGGAGCATGCCACCCCGAGGATGTGGAGCTGCAAGGGCTGGCGGGAAGGCTCTCAGGAGCCAGGCCTTAAGGAGTGCTGTTGACTAACAGGTCTGATGCAGCAGCTTTCACTACTGGTGGAAATCGATGTTTTTTCCTTGAAAGTCTAGCTTTTTAATTTCAGTAAACCAAATGAGATCATGTATGTAAAAGCACTTTGTAAACTGCTGTGCTCCAGAAAAAGCATGAATGGCCCACTCTCATCTCTACCTTCTAACTGGCAAAAATGATTGAGCTCACTTTCAAGGGTTAGAGAGAAAAGAAATCAAAAGACAAAAATGAGGTGAGCACACAGGCACTTCCCCTGTGCACCTCTGTTACTGGCCCTGTCCTCTCTCGAGCAAGGGCAGATCTCGTTCCGTTAGCTTCTCTAAGCTCCTGCTCCTCGCTTAGGGACACACAGGACAAAGATGTGTTGAAATAGACTCTGCTTTATTCAGGTAGCAAAACGTTAGGAATCACACATGGTTTTTAAAACTCCCTTTAATCTTTGAAAATGGAGGAGAGAGCATCCCCGGGCCAGTCACACTTAAGTGTACCTGGCTAAGCAGACAACTGTATGAGGGAGCTGCCCCTCCACGCTGTCCTGATAGGTACTTAGCACCCTAGAAACTCACCCTCTGCAGGAGAGAGAAGCAAAGGTCTGGAGCGAGGTCACACACTCTAAGGTATCTTCCAGGATAGGGGGCTCCCTCACCCCCACCTGGAGTCACTGTGGCTATTGGGATCAAACTACCAGTTACATGCTGGTTACTTGGAATGTCAGACCCAGTGGGCACCAGTCATCAGGGTGAGGGAGGGGAAATGCCAGGACACGTACATAAGGATGCTGTTAAGACCACAGGGAAGGAGGAGGATGGCGACGGCGCTGGGACTCTAGCCAATGCCAGAGTGTGTGCTCCCTCTACCCCTAGAGCCCTTGTGAGGCATAAACAGGAAGCCTCTCCAACAAGGAGGTCTCCAGGCAGCCTCCAAACCATGCAAAGGGGCTGGCCCGGGCCAGGGACATCTGGTAAGGATGCTCACTGTGTTTCCATGGGGGTCCTGAACGGGGAAGTTCAGGAATGAGATGGCAGCCACTTTCTTCCTTCTTTGCCATTAGCTGACAAAGGGGAATGAGGAAGGCCCACGCCCCTCGAGAAATTGGGCAGTGCAAACTCTATGACAAACAGCATTTTCAGTGGCCCCGCTGTAAGGGGACCCACTTTCCCACCACCTAAGGCAGGCATTGGACAGTGTCCTCGGAGCATGTGGATGCTGACGTGGAGAGGGCAGTGCTCCCCTGCCTTCCACCTCAGCTCCAGAACTGCTCCCACAGAGACCCACCCACGGCTGCTCGCAGGATGGCCTCGTGCTCTGTGGGATTCTTCAAGGATGAAGAGGCCGTGGGAAGCATGTGTGCTGGAACAGCACTTTGGTGTGGAATCCTGGTGCGTAGGGCGGAGGCTCCAGCCCCAGCTAAAAAAGCCTTTCTCCCTCCCCTTCCACCAGTTCACATCCACAGTGCCTGACCTGGGCAAGCTCCTCAACCCCCATGGAGACGGTGATGGGGAGAGGAAGGTGTGGACGTCTCGGCCACACAGATAGTAACACCATGTAAAGCTCCTGCACCACAGGCCTGGGGGGTCCCCTCTGACCGCCAGACCCTGAGGGCTGGGAGACGTTGCCACAGGTCAAAGGCAGAAAGCAAGAAAGGAATTACTGACTAGAGCCAAAAACAATAGGAAAGCAACAGTGCTAGAGCTGAGTGCTGGGGTGGGGATAGAAGGGCATGTTGGGTACTAGGGCGCCCGTGGCACTGGGGAGGTACATGGACACCAGCATCCATCCTGGGAATGGGAAAGATACTCAGGTACTTGGATGCCAGCACCGACCCTGGGAATGGAAAAGGTACTGCGGTACTTAGATGCCAGCATCTACCCTGGGAATGGAAAAGGTACTCAGGTACTCGGATGCCAGCATCAACCCTGGGAATGGGTACTTGGACACCAGCATCTACCCTGGAAATGGGAAGCAGCAGACTATGGAGAAGGCCCCACCCACAGGGGCCTGCAGCATGGCACAGGACCTGCCTGAGCCAGGCGGCAAGCAAGCTGGGATGGACGGCACCTACTTCCTGCCTGTTTAAAACAAGGTGAGGAGGGTGTGAACCTCGCAGTGCCAGGAGCCCCTCTGTCCCTCTAGGGCAGCGGTTCTGAAGCTGGAGCAGGCCCACAGTCCCTGGAGGAGCTTGTTCAAAGCCCCCGTCCCTGAGCTCCCATCCGGGGATGCCTCAGTGGGCCCTGGTGATCCTGGTAGAGTCCCCAGGGCAACTTGGAGAAGAGTGGACCAGCCTGTTGTGCAGATGGTGCATTCAGAGAGCAACTCCTGCAAGGGCTTTGGAGACAAATTCCTACCTGTCCCACTAAGGACGAGGCCAGGGCAGAAGGCAGCTAAGTCCACACTGCAGCCAGAGGTCTTTCAGAGAGCTTGAGGCTCTCACTCACTAATCCTAGGGCAGATGGGGAGTCAGCAGGCACTTGGATTCTCTGCTGCCAATTCATGGGGAGGGAAACTCAGGCACAGAAAAGCGGAAGGGATTAATCAGACCACTGCCTGCAGCAGAGCTGGGGCTGCATCCCAAGCCTCCCAACTCCAGCTTGGACCCATCCTCTGGTGAGGAAACCCGGCCAGGCATGCTTCGGGTCAGACGGGGCTTGGCAATACGGGAAGCGCCAGGCCCCCTGCCAGGAGAGCCCCAGCTCCACCATCTGGAGCTGCAGGAAGAGAACCTTTCTTGGGTGTTGTGTGCAAAGGGCTTGTGATTTTTTTCATCCTAAAGGAAGCCCTGGGAAGAGGTAGAGTTCCCTGCCAGATCGAGGCCTCACTGCTTCTGCTGCAGGAGCCAGGGTGGGAAGTCGCAGAGCTAAGCCTCTGGGGCCAGGCCAGCTGTCCCTAGAGCAGTGGGTCAGCCTCCACCTCTAACAAACTGGCCTTTCCCTCCTCCCACTTAGGCTGTGGGCAGCCTCCCTGGAACATTCCCCAGGGATGTCCAACAGTCTCCGCACCACAACAGTCCTCTTGCCACCACAACAGGGGTTGAAACCTTTCATGATGGGATTATTTTCTGGAGCACCTTAAAAACAAACTTGCGGTAAGAACCTTCTGGCACACTTGCGTGAGGCATGGCTGTGCTGAGCGGGGTCTCAGGAAACAGGTCATGCACCTCCTAATGCCCCCGCCGCTCCAGACGCCACTGCCCACTTCCTGCTGCTCAGAGAGCATCCCTGCCAGTGGGAGAGCCGAGAGCAGTCTAGGTCCTGCAGAAGCGTCCCCGTGATCAAGGACTCCCTGTCCCTCAGGACATGCTGGGGGCCTCCTGGCTGCTGTGGGGGTACAGCAGGCTCTCGGGAGGCGCCATGATGCAGTCCTTCAGTACCTCCACTGCTTCCCTGGAAGGCAGGGTGGGTGGCTTCTGGGTCCCGGATCCCTCCGCATATAGGGCTCCCATCTGCCCCTTCCTGAGCCTGGCGCCTGTGATGGAGGAAGAAGAAGGCCATTAGACCAACCTACAGAGACCATCTTCCACATCCAACTTCGCCCAGGGGCTGTCTGGTGAAGACAGCTTGGCAGAACAGACTGGAGACGGGGCCGCTACTGCTCACTGCAGCTCCCTTCTGTGCCTGCTCTGCTCATTCTTTCCTCCTAAGACAAGGGATCTCAGCTGAGGGTGATTTTGTCCCCCAGGGGCCATCTGGCAATGTCTGGAGATGATTTTCGTTGTCACAAGACGGGGGTATGCTACTGGTATCCAGTGGGTACCTAACAGGTAGAGGCCAGGGATGCTGCTCAAGTTCCCACCATGAACGGGAGGGGCCCCAGCCGAGAACCGCCCCCAATGGCAGCAGTGCCAAGGCTGAGAGCCCTGCCTGGAAGGAGGCCTCAGCGTGCAGTCAGGTAGTGTTTGGACCGATCTGTGCTGGTCCCATTGTCCCTGTGGAAAGAGTAATCTGCACAAGTGCACACCTGTCATCCTCTTTTTCTCCTTCACACCCACAGGGCTGGACACACAGCAACTTCCTCAACAAACGCCCAGGTGATGGGCTCGCCCAGCCCTCCCGCTTGGCTCTCCCTGTCTCTTATCAGTGAGGGGTCTCTTCTCCTCCCCACCTGCCCTGCTGTGGCTCCAGGGCCACCCTGCTTCCTACAGAGAGCCCCTGTCAACCCTGAGACCCAGTCCCTTTTCTGATGGCCACAGACTCAGAGGTGAAAGCTGGAGCAGCACCAGCTGGAAGGAGACCAGCTAGAGACGCCGGGAGAGGGAACACTGCTCCGTCCTTCTCAGGTGGCCGTGAGTGGTGTGCAGAACCCCAACGGCTCGCATCTTTGCTTTGGTTTTCTTTTTTATTATTATTATTTTCCCCACCGCAAAAAAAGAATGTGTTTCATCTATGGTTTTCAAAAGACTACTTGAAGAGAGAAAATTTCCTGTCTATGGCTTTCAGTAACTTGCCCTCCCTTCTAATACCGCTTCCCCCTCAAGCAAGTCCCTGGCCCAAGCCCCCCGCTCCAGCGAGGCTGTTTTTGCTCTCCCCTGCCCTGTGCAACTCCTGCCTGAAAGCCTCACCATCTCCTCTACATCTCAGCTCCTCCACAGCCAGGCTGACCTCTTCCCTCTCGAGAGTCCCGCACAGCCGAGTCTACACAGCCCACTTAGAATGTGATGGCGCTGCCTGGGGCTGGTCACCCTCTCCTATTCCCAGCAGTGGTCTTGACCTTTAACTAGTACCATCTGCACCACCTGCCAGGCACTGTCCTGAGTGCTTTCCAGGTACAACTCACTCGGCAGATGAGAAACTAAGGCATAAAGGGACAGATTTGCCCAAGGCCATACAGCTAGGCGGGGGCAGAGACAGCACAGCAGTCACCAGGGCAGACAGGCTCTGGAAATGCACACTCTCTGCACTAAGCCCTGCTACCTAGAGCACATGTGTGTCATATCCCTAGCAGGGGCGCAAACTCCTGGTACTAGACGTCACGCGTCTAGTACCCACTGGCCTAGCAAATGGGTGGGCTTGTGACAGACGCTCCATAGGGATCCACAGTCCCGTCTTGTTGGCCTGTGGCTCAGCATGGGGCTGGAGGGCAAGATTCCCTGACTTGGGGGAGTTCGGCTACTTACCTGCAGGGGAGTGGGCTGGCACCTGGGTGCAGGCATAGACGTGGCTGAAACGCCGGCCTGAGGAGGTCAGGTACCAGTGCTGGATGGCGGGCTGGGGGTCGTACTCTGTGACGGCCACGCCGTTCACAGCCGTCATCATGAGCATGTTGAGCACCTCGCTGGAGAGCTTGGTCCTCTCATCAGTCCTGATCCGGTTCATGGCCTTGAACCCCCGCTCACAGCAGGAGGTAGAGACGGGCACACAGACCACCACGGCCATGAGCTTGCTCAGCAGGGGGAAACGGTAGTGCTGGGTCAGGGCGTTTTTGCAGAGCATGGAGAACGGGAGGTGCTGGGTGATGGCTTTCAGGCCCAGCCACTCCTCCAGCAGAGCCTCCTCACTGTATCCTGCTGGGAGGGAGTGCTCAAAATACCTGGCCAGGGTGAGAATGTCATCATTCCCAAAACTGGCAAGTTCGATCCCGTTCGGCCAGGCCATGGTGTCAAACACCTCCATGTTCTTGAGCTGTGGCGGTCGATCTGCACTGAACCTCTGCTGGAGGTACTCTATTCCCGTCAGGACCATTCTCTCCCTGTCTACCTGGAACCGCTGTTCCGCTACCTCCGGTCTGTCCAAGCAGATGCCGTGGAGCCGCCCGTCCTTGAAGCTGGTGTTGAATTCTTCCTCTTTGGGCCCCGCCTGGTGACGGAGGCTCTCCAGGGCCACGTAGGCCCGGCCCAGCGTGGCGTTCACCTCTGTAATCAGCACGATCTCCCTCTGGCACACCTCAGACAGAGGCCTGTAGATGCTCAGGAAGTCCAACAGGAAGTGGCAGAACTTGACGAAGTAGAAACCACGCATGAGCTTCAGCATCCCCTTGGCCCGGTGCCCAATCTGGCCCCCAGCCTCCGCCACGCTCTGGAGGTGCCTGGCTAGTGCGGGCCAGCTCGCGAGCAGGGCGTGCAGTGTGCGCCTCCTGCTGGCCACCCACCGCACGGCGTTCAGGTCCTTCAGGCGGAGGATCTCCTGCTCCAGAGCTGCTGCACCTTCCTGCAGCTCGTTCAGCCTCTTGTTTGAGGACTGATAAAACTTGAAGATGGTGCGGATGTGCCGGTCGCACTTCCTCACCAGGTCGATGCTCCCACAGGCGTCCACCACGGCCAGGTGCAGCTGGTGGGCCACGCAGTGGATAGGCAGCAGCTGCGGGATGATCTCCTGGAACTTCTCCACAAGGCCTCCTCTGCAGCTCAACATGGCTGAGCCGTCAGTCCCCAGCCCCACCACCCAGCCAGGCTTCCGGAAGGGGATGTCCAGCTCATCCAGGGCAGAAACGATGGTCTCGAAGTACCCATCTGCTGTCTCACTGTAGAGAGGGGCCAGAGTGATATAGGACTCCTTCACCTCCATCTGCTTAAAGTAGCGGATATAAATCCCCACACAGGCCTGCTCGGAGGCGTCAGTGGAGCTGTCCAGCAGCACACTCACGCAGGGAGACTTGCGCACGTCCTCCAGGATCTCCCTCTTCAGCGTCTCGGAGATGTACTTGATGAACTGAGTGCATGCTGTGCGATTGCGGTACTTGCCCAGTATCATGGTCCCAGTGCTCTGGAGGAGCTTTAGGATCTTCTCAAAGTCATTCAGGGGCCTTGAGTGGTATGCGATGGAGTAGGCGGCATTGAAAAAGTGCTCCATGTTGGCCATGAGGTCACTGGAGATCTCCGGAATGAGGGCAGTCTGAGGGGCATCTTCCTTGATTTCAACCGTGTTGACACAGAGCCTGTGCGCTTTGCTGACTTCATGGTATTTTAAAGTCTCCACTTTAAAAGGCCCCGTGTAACCTCTGACTAACCGAGATGATTTGTCGTGGAGATTAGGTCTTTCTTTGCAGGCTGAGCAGAAGAGCTTGGTCTCTTTGGGGTCAACTACCAACCATGGGAACTGCCCAAACCATGACCTCTGAATGGAACGGGGCCTGTACGTCCTCTTGATTCTCCTAGGTCCATCTCCTTCTCCTTCACAAAAGCTGGCACTGCAGCAGGCGGCATGGGCCTCCACGGGAGAGGCTGGAAGCAGCACGGAGTCCGCAGCCAAGACCTGTGTGTCCACCTCTCTCACTGCCACCATCTTCTTGTTCCCTTTGGGAAAATTCAATCATGCTTGGTTCTGCTACCCAGAACTCTGCAGTCGTCTATCAGCTAAGACACCCCCAAAGTAGTAAGTATCCATTAAGCAAAGCAGAGAGGATGAATGCAGTCCTTCTTTCTAGAGATCATTAGTGGTGTCCACTTAAACCCTCTCCTATTCTTATCTGGGAAAGTCAATCTGGCTCCCCCAGAGTTGTTGCTAATCCTTGTGGGTTCTTTCACCAGCACCTGCACCACCCTATCCATGCAGCTACCCTGGGATCATGTGACACCAGATGCCAATAAGCTCAATTAACCCCCTTGGGGACATAGGGGCTGTCGGATAAGCAGGTGGCTTTCAGCCTCGTGTGAGGCTCCACAATGGAACAGGTTAAACACCTGCCAAGGCTTCTTATGCACCTCAGAAAGAAGTAGGTCCAGAACTATGTGCAGCAGCTACAAGCAAAGACGTTACTGATTGAGTGAGACACGCAAGACAACGAATTCTCACAAAAACGGTGCTGTCACCGAGCACAGAGGCGGAGGGAGAAGGGATGAGAGGCTCACAGACCTCTGGGTCCCCTGGCTCCTTGAGACCAGTGTCCCCACGGACCTGCTCCCACCAGCTCTGCCACAGCCCCTATCAGCCCTTCTTACAAAAGGACCTGTTGTTTCCCAGTTTCACAGACTACTCTGCACTCTGTGGCAGGGTTCATTGCTTATTCATCTTGTCTGCCCAGGGCTTCCTGCCAGGCTTGGTGACCTATCAGCCCCAGTCAGATGAGCACAGCTGAACTCATGCTGTGTGACTCATCATGGCCACCCTGGCACGTGCCCTTCAGAACGCTATAGGTTTAGACTCACCTGGAGGACGACCTTTCCCCCACTTTGGCCCATTTGGGTCCTTGATCCAGGGTGCAGCCCTCCGCTCCAGTTTGGAGATCAAGTCCGGCTTGGCAGCAGCAGGTCCTGTTGCAGAGATGAAGAATCATGCTGATGTCACTGCTGAGGCCAAGTTGAGTAGCCCCCTCAAGCTAAACTCGGCCCCTGAAATTCAGAGGTGTCTCGCATTCTTTCCTTAAAATGCCTGGTGGGCTGGGGTAGGCTGAGCACACACCCGGGGTGCCAAAGAGGCAGTCAGGGGAGGGGCATGCCTCTGCTATGATGGGACTTCCTCAGACCCACAGGCCAGCCCCGGGAGTCACAGTCCAGCCATACACACCAGAGTGGGAAGGGTGGAAACAGGAAGAAACACAGGGACTAAGCAGGAGAGAGAAGGCAGTTGCGGGGCTGGGGGGGGGGGATGGTGCAGCCACATCAGAAGTGGAAGGTGCCACCCACAGCTGGCCCATCCATGTGCCCCTCTATCCCACAGCTGGCCTTTGTACAGGTGACCAACTACATAGGTTTTTGAAATGGGCACATGGAGGGCCCCCAAAAATATCTACCACCTGCAATGGAGCCTGAAATCTGACTAAAAGAGTTTTGTGTCTTTGGATTAAGCACTTTACTTAAATAGAAATATTGTTCAGGGGTATGCAAATAAACCGTTTCCTCTATTGAAAATAAAATCCATCACTATCTACATCATGCTTTTGTGTGTGTCTATGTAACTATGTGCATAAACTTTCTGTGGAAGGCCACACAAGCAACTGGGCCTATGGGTGCTCCTGGGAGGAAGTGAAGGGCAAAGGGAAAGGGAGGTTGGTTTCCACTACTTATCTTTGGATCACTTGAATATCTTTATATATATAATGATACGTGTGTGTGTGTGAGAATATCTACATATTTATTACTAATAAAAATAAAAAGTAAATTACTAAAGTGTGTTAGATTGAACATATATCCTTCTTAAAATATCTCTAAATTAGATATTTAGAGATATTTTAAGAAGGATATATGCAAAGGAATAATAACAACAAAATGAGGCATAAGCCCAAGAGAAAAATTGGACCTTCCAATTTTGGAAGAAGGAAAGGAGACAAAAGAGAAACGAACAGAGCTGAACACCAAGTGCCTGCGGAGGGGTTAACAAGGAGAAGCAAGTTGGTTAGTACCACAGAATCCCAGAAAGATTCAGAAACTGCAGGCACCAGGTGCAGGAGAAGGTGGTGGGTGGGGAATGGGCAGGAGCAGGGGACTGGCTCAAAGTCTGCACAGAAATCTGCTGAATCCCCGGTCCCCTCACCTGTTCCAGGAAACAGCACTGCCACACCCCAGAGGAGAAGAGAGGCTTAGTCTACAGAAAAACTTACCCAGAAAAGCTTCAGATCCCAGAAACCACATACAGGGAAAGGTGAAGGGGCGGTATGGTACTGAAAGCAGGGAGTCATAGAGTCGCCTCTATGGACTGAGGGCTGCACTGCTCGACTCCAAGAATGCCGGCTGGGCTTATCACAGCCTCCAAACAGGAAACGGGAAGTGTTTTCTTTAGAAAAATGGAATGGCCCTTCTCTCTCCCCTCAAAAGATCTATGGATACTGACTTTTGTGGGTTCTTTAGTAAGACATCTGGGTTTACAGCTGATCACCCTACAGTGAAAAGTAGAACCTACTCTTGATCTTCCCAGCCATGCACAGAGCTTCCAGTCAGTTTTTAAAGGCTTACTCTTACACAGGAATGAACCTAGAAATAATTATTTAAGAAAAGCTTCTAACATAAAAGAGAGAAAGCAAAACAAGTAGGAAAAAGTTTGGACGAACTTGAGATAGAGCAAGGAGCAAAACAAAACTTCCAAATAATGAGAATTAATATTGCCAGTGAGAAAAGTGATGACAGCCATTCATGAAAGAGGCAATAAAAGTTTTAGAAACTAAAAACCCAATAGAATAAAAAAATTAAAAACTCAATAATAAATAGAATTGTTAGAAAATAAAATGGAGGAAACGTCCAAGAAAGTAGTATAGAAAATATAAAAGCAGAAAATAGGAGAAAAAGATATAAACAGAAAACCAGAGGCTCAATCCAGGAAGTCAATATCAAACTAATAGGAAGGAGTTTCTGGAAGAAAGAAAAGAGAAAATAGATAGGAAGAAATCATACAAGAAAACTTCCCCAAACAGGAAAAGACAAGTTTCTACATGGAAGGGAAATACCAGATACCCAAAACAAAAGATTTAAAACACACTTTATATAAAACATTAAGGCACATCATTACAAATTTGAGAAAATCAAAATCAATTTCAAAAGCTTTCTGAGTAAAACAAATAGGTCATGTTCAAAGATTCTGGAATAAGAAGGCACTAGAGCTCTCAACGGCACCAGTAAAATCTAAAGGAGCAATGCTTTCAAAACACTGAGGAAAAGTATTTCCAACCTAGAATCCTATGTCCAACCAAGTTATCACTGAATCTTGAGGGAAGAATATGGGTGTTTTGAGGGAATGTGTTCGCTTTCAAGGTCCACAAGGGGGCGTAGTTTCTAGGGCAAGAACTTCCCAGCACCATGCCCCTCTCCCATCTCTCTCCATCTAAGAGATTTAACAGTTTATGTTTAAATTTCGAGGGCAGGGGAAGAAACTAAGAGTCAATCACCCCAGTGGAAGTTCTAAGGAACTCGTTTCATTGGCCAGGCGTCTTAGAGAATGTGGGGGGCTCCTCCTAGGTTAAAAGTCCCCTTCTTCCACACCCCTTTGGACTCCATGTTTGGGTCCCCTTCCACAAATACTCTGTCGTGGAAGCTGTTTTTCCTCTCCTAAGCTGCATGTGTCTCTCTCAGTGTGGAAGCTGCTTTCCTCTCCTGGGTTCCATCTTTCTGGATTCTCCCACTCAGAGTGAGAGGAGCTTTCCTTCTGGTTTTCCCGCTCTGGGAACCCTTCTCACTCAGTGTGGGAAAGGCTTTTCTTTCTCCCACTCAGTGTGAGACTTAGCTGTTTCTTTCTCTCTCCTTCTCCTTTTTCTCACTCTGCCTAAATAAAATCACTTTCTTTTTTTTTTTTTTTTTTTTTTTGAGACGGAGTTTCGCTCGTTACCCAGGCTGGAGTGCAATGGCGCGATCTCGGCTCACCGCAACCTCCGCCTCCTGGGTTCAGGCAATTCTCCTGCCCCAGCCTCCTGAGTTGCTGGGATTACAGGCACGCGCCACCATGCCCAGCTAATTTTTTTTTTCGTATTTTTAGTAGAGACGGGGTTTCACCATGTTGACCAGGATGGTCTCGATCTCTTGACCTCGTGATCCACCCACCTCGGCCTCCCACAGTGCTGGGATTACAGGCTTGAGCCACCGCGCCCGGCCTAATAAAATCACTTTCTACAACACTTCTTAAGTCCGGCATTTACTGCGCACTGTGCCATGGTCTCCTCACTCATTCTTGGGGAGTGACTGGCCAAGAACCTGGAGAAATGTCCTCTGAGGGGAACTGAGGGGGTACCCCTGAACCCCAATATTACATTCTTAGATAGTCTGCATCACAGAAGGCCTCCCCTGCACCCTTCCTTAGGAAGCCACTGGAAAATGTGCACTAACAAAATGAAGACGTCAACCACGAAAGATGAGACAGACTCAGGAAACGGGGGAGACAGGGGCATGTCTCAGTCCACAGGTGTGCTGCAGGCCTAAAGGCACCTGGGTTAGACAGAGCAGGGGAGGGGAAGGCTCTGTGAGCGAAGTCTCCAGAGAAAGAATGAAACGGAGAGGTCACAGGATGTCCGGTCACGGGGAAAAGCCTCTTCAGAGGAGTTTTATAATTCCACTGGAGAGTCTGGAAGGAATTGATGAGGGCACAGTAAGTGAGAAAAATAAAAAAGAAGAAAAGATTTTCCAATTCCAGGGGGAAGGGTCCTACAGTGCAGGGAATACCATCACACTACACCCCCTTGTTCAACAGCAAATCATACATCATCATAACTGGGCAAATAATTTATACTAATTTAACCAAAAAAGTGTGATGTACCTGTTCTGAGAGGATGGAGAGAAGAGAAGTGGGGCCCAGGTGATGTAACAGGGCCGTATCTCCATCTTCCACAGTAGGAATCAATACAGAGTATCTAAAATCAATAAAGCGGGAATACAATAAACACAAGCAACAGGCTGTGAAAGTGTGATTCTGCCTGCTCTGCCAAAGCCCCCAAAGTAGGAGCCAGCTCTTCCGAGTTCCAAAGCCGGACACGGACATCTGACCTGGAAAGAGAATGGCTGAGGGCCCAGTGCGGGGGTGGGGGGGGAGTGGCTCTAGCCCGCACCCATAAGGAAGAGTCACACAGCTGAGACTGAGGAAGCCAGGAAGTAGGGCACCAGGGATGTTTCTGGAAAGCGTTGTCAAGGGTATTGTGAGCCTCTCTCCCTGACTATGGGGAGCAGTGGGAGCAGTGGGTGTGCCCTTTCCCCTAACCTGACCTGTATCTCTGGGAGCTGTGAGCAGCCATGAGTTCAGGCCTGGTTACCCCTTTAGTCTTACGACTAAAGCAGCCACAGGCTGCCGGTGCCTTGGAGGTGGCCGTATCGGGAATGGCCCACACTCCAGGTCTGTCAGAGCACAGGGTCTGAAGGTGCTTCCATGGTTCAGATGTGGGCTACACAGGAAATGAGAAGAGGCCTGGTGTTGTCTGTGGGGCCTGCTCATGGCGGCTGGCTACCGCTCTGATGCTCCCCTGTAAAGGAATCTACATGGGACAGGCTGCCAGGGCAGACATTTACCCATGTCCATTCAACTGCAAGCAAGAGGATACCAGGGCCTGTGGGGGGTATTGCAGAACCCACAAACACGCCCAAAGAACCAGCTTTAAAGGACCACAGCTCTTATTAAGTGGCTGGTGTCAGATTATGTGTCAAGTGAAACCTTTCTTTCACCTCTCCCACCCACCCACCATGCCATTCCCACCGAGGATGAGTCAGAAATTCTGAAACCAGCAGGGGGTGGGAGAAGAGGAGCCCTTCTTCCTATGGCAGGGGTCCAGATTCTATAGCTGCAGCAGGTTGAGGCTGGTAAGGCAAGAATTGAGTGTTAAATGGAGTCCAGATTTTCTACTACTACACAGAGACTGCGCTTTTGTTTCCTAAATTTTCCTTTTGGTAAATTTTAGATACAATGTCAAATTTACAGAGAAGATCGAATAATACAAGGAACTCCAATTGCTGACATCTCGCCCCATGTGTTCCAGCAGGCTTGTGAGCTCACAGGCACGCGCTCTTGCTGGGTCCACACATATCACTACAATATTTTTCTGAACCATTTGAGAGTAAATTGCTTGCATGCCACTTTATTCCTAAATACTTTGTATTACCCAACAAAAAGGACCCTCAAATAGGTGGTAGGCAGGATTCGAACATGGGCTCCAGGGCCATGGCCCTGGCCTGACCGCTTTCCCTTGAGGTGAGGGAATGCTGAACAGGATGAGAGGTCACGCTGTCATCACGTTACCCTGCACAGCAAAGGGAGATTAGCGGGTGGACCCGACCTAATTACACAGCTCTTTCAAAGCAGGGGCTGTTCTCAGCTGGCAAGTCAGAGCCTCAAGGCACATGACGATTCCACACTGCGGCCAGCCTGAGCATGGAGCAGCCATAGGGAAGCACCCAAGGGCAGCCCCTAGGCTGAAAATGCTCCTGCTGACAGGCAAGGGAAGGGCAAGGAGCTAGGTTCTGGCAACAGTGTAAGTGAGCTCAGAGCCTACAGACAGGAGCCTGCCTGGCCAGCCCCTTGGTTTGGGCTAAGACCCTAAGCAGAGAACCTGATCAGGCCCACCTGGACTCCCGACCTGCAGAGCTGTGAGGTAATACATAAGTCTGCAGTCATTTGAAATGGGGCAGCAGAAAGCAAAGGGTTACAATGATCAAAACCAGGAAGCTCAACACCGATATCATAGTATTATCTAATCTACAGTCCACACTAAATTTCTCCCCTTGTCCCCAAAATGTCTCTACAGCCCAGCATCTGTCCCAGCAGCATGCACTCAAGTTGTCACACCTCTTCAGTCTCCTTGAATTGTGGCAGTTTGCCAGCCTTTCTCTGTCTTTTTTGGATCAGGACACTTTTGAAGAGCTTTGTACTGGGCATTACACTCATTGAAATTAGACCAGGAAGATTTTATGTTATCTGAGAGTGACAAGAAAAAGTTCTGGGCCCTGCCTAGATTTAACCCAGAGGGTGAGAAAGAAAGGGGCCCCAGGGCTGACATGCTCAGATGTGAGCTGGAGGATGCAGCTGTTTCATGAGCACATCCTGCGGAGTCCATCGCTTCTAAGATTATGTCCACATACGTTATTTAGAAATAATGCAGCAAATTACTGGAAGAAACAGCTACAAGTTTCTGGGGAAGAGGACTTCATAAAAGAGAAAGGTGGGACAGGGGACTATCATTTTTCTTTTTTTTTTGAGATGGAGTCTCACTCTGTCGTCCAGGCTAGAGTGCAGTTGCGCAATCTCGGCTTACCGCAACCTCCACCTACTGGGCTCAAGAGAGTCTCCTCCCTCAGCCTCCCAAGTAGCTGGAACTACAGGCACACGCCACCATGCCCAGCTAATTTTTGTATTTTTAGTAGAGATGGGCTTTCACCATGCTAGCCAAGCTGGTCTTGAACTCCTGACCTCATGATCCACCCACCTCAGCCTCCCAAAGTGCTGGGATTACAGGTGTGGGCCACCGTGCCCGGCCAGTTTTGTGTTCTATTTACAAAAAATAATTAAATGATAATGTAAAATTATATTTGGTTTTCAACTCCTAAAGCATTTGTTATGGAGGGTAAAGTTATGGGAAATTAAAAAAGAAAAACTAGCCAAAGTAAAAATAATAATAATTAGAGACTCTCCACTGTTTCAACACTACTTTATAACCCAGTGGTTGGCTTGATGCCTTTTAAAAGGTCACTTTTAAACATACAAATAGCTTATGCCAGGCCCTGCCTGTAGTCTCCAGGCTCCTGAAGATGCTTTTATATCTCAAACACGAAGAACTGCTGAAACTGGGGGATAAAGGATAACCAGAGACCCAATTAAAGTAACTAAAAGGAATCACACACGTGCAACTCAATTTCTAGACTCCTACACCTGTCTAAATTTCACGGACAACCCGAGACACCAGGCCCACCCCTAGAAAGCCTGTCTGATTCCTGCCTCTGACCCTCAAGGAAAACGAGTTCCCTTCCCTCTGATGACATTTTATGTTCATCCAAATAAAACTTAAAGACTTTAATTTCCCTAGTTAGCTAAGATTTCCCTACTGCCTAATTTATGTACATGAAAAAGAAAATGATAAAATGTTTAGAGCATGCTCTCTCGAAACACAAAGCCTGAAGGAATGGGCACAGGCTAAACAATCCTGGCCAGCCCTCCCTGCATGCCTGGTACTTTCACCCTCGTCCGGGGGCTTCAGAGGGAAACAGAGTCGCCAGTGCCCATTACTTTAAAAGAAAACCCAACTTTTTGTAAGAGGGTACCCATTTTTAAAAGAGGTGTCAATTTTGCCCTCACTCTCACTGCTTTTCAGCACGGCAGGGGCAGTGATGCTCTTTGAACGGAAACTCCTAACCTAGGGCACGATAGCAAAACCTGTCACCACAAAATAAATAATACAAGTCACTTCTGAATGTCTGGGGAGCCATTTAAAAATTATCAACAATGGCAAAAACATGTATGTAAGTCAAGAATGTTTAGAAAATAATCCAGATCTTAGCTGCACCTGAAGGAGCAGTAACACGAGGGGCTATGACATCAATCAAGTCACAAACTTTCTTATTTCCTGTTTTGCAGAAGTCACAACACAGGCTGCTGGAACTCCTAAGGCACCTACAACAGCCTGTTCTACAAGGTTTCTGTTATCATGTATGTTAGTAAAGAAATATGTAAAAGCTGTGTAAGATGAAGAGTTGGCCAGGTGTGCTGGCTCACGCCTATAATCCTAGCACTTTGAGAGGCTGGGGAGGGGAGGGGGTGGATCACCTGAGGTCAGAAGTTGGAGACCAGCCTGGCCAACAGAGTGAAACCCCGTCTCTACTAAAAATACAAAAATTAGCCAGGTATGGTGGTGCACACCTGTAGTCCCAGCTACTTGGGAGGCTGAGGCAGGAGAATTGCTTAAACCCGGGAGGCAGAGGTTGCAGTGAACCAGCATCGTGCCACTGTACTTCAGCTTGGGTGACAGGGCGAGACCCTGTCTCCAAAAAAAAAGTTGTATTTCCATCTTGGTGCTTCATAAGAACCTTGCTGATCTGCCAGAAAGAGGCAAAGAGAAGATCAAACAGTAGATGCAGGAGAGGACAGCACTATCCTGAGTAATAAGCACTGCCCTCTTTCTACTCCAAGGTCCAAACCCCATGCCCCCCGTCCTGAAGGCTGCCCTTGCTGGCACCTGGCCCGAATGCAGGAGCCTCAGCCCTGAGCTGCACAGATAGGGGTGGCTCTGCCAGGCCATCCCCGCCATCATGGGTCAATGCCCTTCCTCCTTTTGGTCCACCTGGTTTTGAACTCAAGTAAAACATTTCCTACTCTTCCTGATCCCTCCCGCCAACACCCCAACACCGCGGAAATCAAATCTCTCTTTATCAGTAGCCCTGGCTACTCTTCTGGAAGCTCTTTTGTGGGAGACTGTATTATTTTATGTTTTCTTATTAAAATGTCTGTCTCTCCCACAAATGCGCTAGGTCCTTGGAAGCAGAGACGTGGCTTGGCCGTGCTCATCTGGCACATAGGAGGTACTCCAAAATGTCCGGTGGGAGACGAATGGATGTACAGGTGGGTGGATGAGAAGGTGATAAAGCACAGTTACCCCAAGCAGGGGAGTTCTGAGGTGCAAAGACAGGATTGGTCTCTGCCTATGCATGGGAGGGCAGGAATGGGAAGATAACCACAAGCCCCAGCTGCCTTTGTGGGCTTCCCGAGTCAAATGAGGATGGTGAATAAGAGTCTCAGTGCGTCTTTACCCAGGGATGCCAACAGCTCGTAGTTCATCCGCATCACGTCCCTGTACAGCTCCTTCTGCCGCTTGTCTAGCATGCCCCACTCCTCCCGGGTGAAATACACCGCCACATCCTCGAACACTACTGGCAGCTCCGCAAACACCACAGGAACCTCCTCCGACAGCCGCTCTGCAGAAGGGTCCTGGAACAGAGAGCAGCGGCCGCTCAGCACCACTTGACGAGCCAGGCGCCCACGTGACACTTCTGGGGCCATCGGAGCCCCATTTCTCCTGGGAAGCTCACCAAGAGGCCCAGATGCACTTGGAAGAATTAATTTATACATTGAAAGTCAAAGAATCAAATTCAGGAGGCCCAGAATCAGTAGGTAAAAACCAAGTGAGACTCGGTCAGACCCCAGAATCCCCTGGGCGGAAATGAAAGCGTGTGGAAAGAATGGGCAGCCGGGCAGAGCGTCTGACTACATGCTGTCGCCAGTCCTGAGAGCTGCCTTCTGTTCACTACAACTAAAAGGTGACTGTGTGCCTTCAGGAGCACCTCTAAGATTTCCCAACGGGATGCGAATGAAGAGGTGGTCAAAAAGCTAACGATGCTTATGACCAGCGACTGGTTTACAATGCCTCACTGCTAAAGGAGTTCAGATGATAAAAGGTTACATCTGTTCATTCGCTTCTAATACTAAAAAATATCAGGAACAGGAAAAGAAATGAGCTATGCTGTTTTTCTGGATTTTGGAAAAATGAGAGTTTACGAACTTGAGCCGGATTCCTTATGATGTCAGCTTAAGGAGGAACCTCCGAGCTATTCTCACGGGACTCCTGGAGGGGAGTTAAAAATGATTTGTTGCAAAATTCTACTTCTATGCAACAGGTGAGAACTGGAGAAGCTTCCAATGAACATAGTTTCCTTAGAGGACAACTTCCCAAAGCATTCAGTAACTACAAAGGAACCCTTAGGTGGGTGCTAGAGTTCTTTAGCGCCCAGCAGCGCTGCAGGGAATGGAAGGAAAGCACTGAGCTGGGAGCTCAGGACTCTGGGCAGATTCTGGCACTGACCACAGGAGCGCTAGGACCCCAGACATGTCACTTCCTCCGAAGCCTCAGTTTTCTTCCAACACGATGAGTTTAATAGCACTTGCTCTACCGGCCTCGCAGCAACATTAGAAGCATTACATCAAACAACACGTGTGAAAAACTGTAATGTTTAAAAGTGCAACATGACTCCAAAGTTAAAGTTAACGTTTTTAAAAATACTAGCCAGGTGTGGCATATCATACCCGTAATCCTAGCATTTTGGGAGGCTGAGGTGGGAGTTTTGATTGAGCCCAAGAGTTCAAGACCAGCCTGGGCAATATAGTGAGATTCCCATCCCTGCAAAAACTAAAAAATCATCCAGGTGTGGTGGCATACACCTGTAGTCCCAGCTACTTGGGAGGCTGAGTGGGAAGGATTGCTTGAGCCTCAGAGGTCAAGGCTGCAGTGAGCTATGATCACACCACAGTCCAGCCTGGGTGACAGAAGGATACCCTGACTCTTAAAAAAAGTTAAATACTGACTAAGAGCTCTGTGATTGTTTCGTGGTTGCAGGCTATTTCTTGAGATGTATGTTTATTTTAGATTCTGAATAAAGATTATTGTTTCCTTTATACCAGAAGTAGAAATGTTCTATCTCACAAAGTATGTTTTGTTATTTGCAAAAAGGAGATGATAGTAATAGCGTTGTTGCCCAAATTAAATGAGATAATACATGTAAAGCATCTAAAACAATGCCTCGTCCATGATACACGTTAGTATATGCTAACATTATGATGTTTGCAGTGCGTTATCACTATTATGCTTTTGTTCATCATCTCCATGGATACACATTGTTCTCAGTATAGAATCCTCCTCTGTAAGATACAGCAATCATTATAAACGTATTACCTGAATGCAGGATTCCACTGCATCATTACATAAAATACTAATGTCTGAGGAGCTGTGGATGCCATCAGTGGTTTCTTTTCGCCTCAAATCTGAAATGCAGTCTAGATACATTGCAGGAATTGCTCCACTTCCCCCAGGGTCCTCTAGTTCAGCTCTTGAGCTTGGCAGGAGCTCAGCCATGCTATCAAAGCCTCCCAGAGGCCCTGGTGGGTAGAATATGGGGTAATCCGTGGTGAAGAGCTGCTCCGGGCTGGCCAGGACATCTCCAGGTGGGTCTCTGATGCTCCGGAACCGGGCTGCCCAGACAGGGTCCCTTGCTGCCAAGGCATTGACGCAGAACACATGGGCCTTGCTCTTGGCGTGGTACTTGAGAGTCTCCACCTTGAATGGTCCTGTATAACCTTCTATCAGTCTTGACCGCTTGTCCCTGATGGAGGGGTATTCTCGGCAAGCAGAGCAGAACAGAGCCGTCTGCTCCTCATTCGCAATCAGCCATGGAAACTGCACAAACCATGACTTCTGTATGGACCGGGGCTTCAGGAGTTTCCTGCTTCTTCCTGCCCAGTCTCCCTCGATGTGTCCACTCCCCAAACTGAGGTGGGAAAGGCAGGCTTTCTTCTGAGGTGGCAGGCACTGTCCACTCTCCTTGGTGGGACCTTGCACATCCATTTCTTCTGTGTAGCCCATCTGTTTTTTTCCTTTAGAGAAAAGGGACAGAAGGGATCTGCTTTAAAATCCTACAGTTAGAGCCACTGGGGCTGTGAGGTACATCAAACATGAAAGGCAGAAAGCATACACATACACCTGAATTTTCTTCTAGTTCCGGCCAAGTCTGCAGACCCTTCCCTCACCTAATCCAGAAGAAAGCCAAAGAGATGGCTTTACAGAACCCTCCCCGTCCCTTTTGCTTTTTGAATTTAAAGGACAGATACAACTAGCCAAAATCTTTGCAATTTAATCTGTGAAATGTAAGACAGTGGTACAATCTTCAGGAGTCAAATTTTATTTATGGATAAGAACACTGACATAATAGAAAATAGGATTTAAAAAAGATCATTAAAGCCACACACTGGGACTCCAGGGGAAGAGAGTTATCTGCCTTCTGGGCAGGCAGTTTTGGTCCCCAGGTAGCTCTCCTTAAGCTGTAATCTATCTTCCAATACTTTTACATCAAAGTACTGGATGCTGACTCAGTCCTCAAGAGAAACTCAAGCCTAATTCCTCTTATACCACAACCCTTCAAAGAGATGAGGACTCTCATGACCTCACTAAGATCTTTCTTCTTCTTTACTCACTCCTTAGATGAAATGCAACTCAAAATACTGTAACTCCTGTGGAACCATTTCTTATGCACCAAGATAAGTTCCAACGCCCAGTGGCCAAGGACTCAACATTTTTCATGCCAGGCCAACAGACTAGTCTACAAAACTGTAAGGGCATGAAGCGGTTAATAGGAGTCAAAAGGCTCAAAGTAAGAGCCAAGCAAGGAGAAATGAAATGAAACAAATTTGACTGTATGATACTTTACAGAGTCACAAAGCTGTCTGGAGTGTCTTGTGGTCTATCTGAGAGAAATCACAAGGGAAAACAAGCTTCTATGATCTGATTCATATGGGATCTTGTTCCCCACCTCTCTCTTCTCCCACAGGAGGGGCTGGGTTAAGTCAGTTATTTTACATAATGCCAAGATTGTAAAGGGCTAAGCCAAGCCCTGAACGGGAGGGTCTTATCAAAACAGGAAAGAAAAGATAAACCCCCCCAGCACTTTGAGAGTCCTAGGGGTGCCTATCATGAGATCAGGAGAACGAGACCAGTCTGGCCAACATGGTGAAACCCCATCTCTACTAAAAACACAAAAATTGGCCGGCCGTGGTGGCAGGCGCCTGTAACCTCAGCTATTCAGAAGGCTGAGGCAGAAGAATCGCATGAACCCGGGTGGTGGAGTTTGCAGTGAGCCGAGGCCACGCCATGGCATTCCAGCCTGGGCGACAGATCAAGGCTCCGTCTCAAAAAAAAGGAAAAAGATAAATCCCTGGAAATTAGCAGACAGTTGTTCATTCATTCAGTGATTACCTATTGTGCAACTGCTGGGTGTCAGGTATTGTTCTAAACACTAGCAATATGGTAGTAAATAAGATAAAGTCATGTCTTCATGGAACTTATACTAATTATAAACAAATTCTCTTGGGTAGAAATAAGATGACGGGGGATGAGAGGTTGGAGAAGGACACTGGGGCAGTGTGTACATTTACATATTAATAAGCTGACTCCTGGGAGAACAGCAGTGTCAGTTGGTGGAGGACAGGAAGGGCAGAGGATGAGCCTGGAGTCCTGGGGCCGCCCCTGCTCCCTCTCCAACCAAGTGCCCGCTCCTGGGTGCAGGTCCACACTCACCTGGGTGATGCTCCAGAAGATTCCTCTGGTCCTGGACACTGCCAAGCCATGGCTCTGGCCCTCGCCCGAACTTACAGAACAACTCAGGGTTGGCAACAGTTGGTCCTGAGTTTAAAAAAAAAAGAGAGAGAAAAGCACTATGAGGGCCTGGCTCCAGGTTACAACACGAAGGAGGTATCTGTCTGCGACTCTCTCTCAGCATGGTGACATAGGGGCCAAGGAGTCCTGATGGTTCGGCACAGTGGTTCAGTGGTTTAGCAACTCAGATATTTATGAGCCCCCTAATAGAACAGGGGACTAGGAGAAAGGACTGAGGGCACAGGGAAGGCTAAACAGGTATAAAAACTATGGGTTAGAAACCCAAATGCTGAGAGGGGCCAGCCTGATAATACAACAGAGGAAACCAGGCCAGGTGCAGGGGCTGTGGTAACCTGGAAGGCGTAACCCTGTGTAAGGGAACAGCAGCTGTTCACCTGCAGAAGGACTGCCACACCATCCCGTTTGCCGAGAGGTGCCAGAAATCCACATTCTTACGTGGAGACTCCCAATGACTAAATATTGGCAATTTACTTAAATATTTTTAAGAAGCCAAACAAAAGCAACAAAAGCCAAAAAACCAAACAGAACTCCAAGCAGTGAGCCATATCTGGCCCATGAGCTGCTACTTTGCAACTTCTGGTTTGGAAGAACCAGTGGTTTTCAAACACTTTTAGCAGACACAAGACGATTCACCCCAGCTGCAATCCTTCTATCCACAAAAGATTGGTGGGAGATTGTTGCCCCCACCATGACTTACACAGGGGCCAAGGTGAAATAAGAAAGGCATGGTAGACAGTCATCAACTTGCAATCAGCAAACAGTGCACATGTGTACACACATGCTAAAACACAACCAACCACCTTTGTCCTTGGCGCAGAAAGTCTACCCAAAGAATCAGAGGAAAGAGCATTCAAAAATTAGAAGAGATGAAAAATACCCATACTTATGCAAAGTTTTAACTGTTTTATCTCACTAAATCTCTACAACAACCCTAAGAAGATGGAAATTCAGGCTTAAAAAAGCCAAAGGCACTCAAGTATCCAGTGGAGAGCTGGGATTGAGACCAGATTCCACATTGCAAATGCAATGCTCTTCCACCACTGCTTCTGACTGCAGCGTTCTACGCGATTCACAGATGCGCAGGCCGAGTTTCCCTCCTGGCCCCTTGGGGCATCCCGAGGCACCAGGAGACAGATCCAGTAGTCTAGCCCAGGTCTGCCAGATTGCCCCACTTCTCTTGACCATTTTAAGGGGAGGAGAGAAAGGGTGATGTGTGGATTAGCATGCAATTATGGTAGATACGGGACAGAGCAGATAGGTGGTGAAGATGCCTAGACAAATGCTTGGATTCCAGAAAACGGTCTCTATATTCCTGACCCAGATGAGGTTGGGAATGCTGATCTAGATCGACAGCGGCAGGGATGTAGATGGGCCCCCATACCCAACGGTGGCACCAGCTTGTCGGAACCACAGAGCTCCTTCTGCTGCTGGCTCAGCAGCACCCATTCCTCCTGGAGTAAGTACACAGTGATGTCATCAAATGTCACAGGAGCCTGAAAGGAAAATGACAGCTGTTAAGTACCAGCCTCTTCCTTAGATTTATCTTCCACAAGTGTTCCTGCCCACCTGAGGGCTCCCCTGCATGGAGAGGGGTGTCGTCAATTTATGTGCATGGCCCACACCCCACCTCTCACCACCTGGGTACAGATCACAGTGAGAACAAGACTCGTTTCTTCTGGGAAGTGCCATGCACTGAAACGAAACAGACCCATGAAGGAGGCCGGCTCAGGAGACTCTCTGTCCTCTCCCCACGTGCTCTTCATCTGCCTCTCACACACCCGTTACTTCTCAGCCAGGGGCTGGGCAACAATTCAGGGTACATTCTTTCATGGAACCTTAAACGTGGTAAATCTTCACTTAGGAAGATGTGGCTAATTTCTAGAAACAGCTGAAAGTCATTTAGAACTATGTCTGTGAATGAAGTTGATGATGAAAACAGGCAACACTTTGGGGCTGAGATCTATAGCCCTCGTGGCTTGCAAAGGAGCTCTGTGGGCTGGGGAGTTCAGAAAGTGTTTGGAGGAGTTCCAGATTAAGATACCAGATTAAACAAGCCCATTTAATTTGTTCATTCCCCATGAATTTAAAAGACCCCCTTCCCAAAACAAAACCCCCACTATAACAGGAGGCACAACAAGGAGCCAACAGTAACACGATCTTGGAAACCAAGAAGCAGATGAAAAAGCAGTCACTCAGCAGATCCAAGAAAATCAAATCCTCGCCTGGCAGCGGGCCAACTGAAGAACCGCCCAAGATACGCCCTGCATCCTCAAAGGCTCCGCATCTTCCAGCAAGGGAACTCTCTAACCCCAACGGAACAAGAACTAGGGGAGGGCTGTGCCCCCAACAAATGCCTCCCCAGGTTCCTTTACATGAGGCTCCAGCTGATAAGCCCCACCCCCATGAGCACAGAGCTGTTAGATTTTCCATCTTTGCTAAGTGTTAGCAGACTGGACTACCAGATGCTTGGGGAAAGGATCTAACAGGGACTACGGAGACCAAAACAGATGGGAGGTGTGAGAAGCGGGGGTTGCTAAGGAAATGGTGGGGAGGCATGGAGAAAAAACTTAAAAAAAAAAACTAACATCAAGCTATACCATCGAAGAGGTAAGATACTGCAGCCACGAAACAAAATGTTATAAAAGAAATCATCAGGCCGGGCATGGTGGCTCACGCCTGTAATTCCAACACTTTGGGAGGCACAGGAGGGTGAATCGCCTGAGGTAGGGAGTTCAGGACCAGCCTGACCAACATGGTGAAACCCCGTCTCTACTAAAAATACAAAATTAGCCAGACATGGTGGCACATGCCTGTAATTCCAGCTACTCAGGCGGCTGAGGCAGGAGAATCGCTTGAACCCGAGAGGAGGGGGTTTTGGTGAGCTGAAGTCTCACCATTGCACTTCAGCCTGGGAAACAAGAGCAAAACTCTGTCTCAAAAAAAAAAAAAAGAAAAAAAGAAAAAGAAATCAGAAAAAGGAGAAATGTTTATCCTTTTAAGTTTTGTACCATGAAAACATCACCTAAAGAAATAAAAAATAAATCAATAAAATTATCAACAAAAAACAAATTTCTCACTCCAAAGAAATATAACTTTGGGAAATAGCAACATGCCATTTAAAACAGGTGAAATATCTATTTTAACCTCAATAGTAGACATTTCTTGAGGAAAATGATATAGATCATTCTCACTGGTCACTATTATAGTGGGTTTTTCTCACGTTGACTGCAGAAAATTTGTGCAATAGAAATAAGCAGAAAAAAATGTATTCAGGTCACCCACATTCCTTTTACTGAAAAAGAACTGCTTTTCATTACCCTTCTTTCCTGAGAACCTGTTAACATTTGGTATATAACCTCCCAGTCTTTAGTCTATGAATATGTATGAACAGTTTTAAAAACAAAAATGGAACTGTACTGCCAAATATGTATGTTTAAATAACTATTTGCTCTGGAGTGTCTTCCAAACAAAATGAAGTATTTCCAAAAGGCTATTGGAAGACAGCCTCCCCTAAAAGAAAGGGGTCAAACAGGAAAGGAGTTTCCATGAGATACACCCTAGGGAGAGCCAATGTGGGGAAGCATCAAAGAGAACCCCAAGATTAAGCTGAAGGCAGATTCGGGATGACTGCTGTATCCCAGGACTGGAAGGCAACCTGGCTAGATTGGGACAGGTGAAAACACTTGTGACGAAGGACAGCCAGGCTCCCTATTCATGCCCAGCCTTCCTGGGCATGCACAGGTGAGCATAATAAAGGCCAAGGGCCCTATCACATTAGCTCCACTGCAGGGTCCAGCCCTGCTGGGTCTAGAGGGTATTCTCTATGCATTCCATATTGTCCCCTAGCAGTCCTTGACCATAGCAACCTGAAGTTCCTAGATCATGATGCATAAAGTACAAGAAGGCTTTAATCAAGGCTTAATATTCAATAAGACTAATATCTAATCACTCACGCTACTTATTCCTAACTATATTCTTCTTTCTATATTCTATTTACTAAGCAGGAACTGGCCTAGGCTTCAATCTCCTGCTTCGGCACTTAGGAGACTTTCCACCCACACTCCACCTGAGGAGCACAGAAAACCATAATAAAATGTCTTTCCAGCAAGAGTGATAACACTAACACCTGGTACTTCTGTTAAGCAGTATTATGGCAAGAGCCTTCTGATTCCAGGTGACTGCAATGTAAAGAAAACACAAATCTGCAAGAATAAGAGGAATTCCTCATCTATGTGTAATGCAAAGAATATCTCCCGACGTTCTATTTTAGTGGTTCCCACTCTCTACAGGGTAAAGCTGTCTGACTTCCCAGTCTAGCACCAAAGTCCCCTCAGTCTGAATCTGACCCACTTTCTAACTTCAGCTCTATGCATCGCCTCACTGGGAATGTCTCCTCCAGCCAGATTCTTATCACTGCAATCACCCAACCTACCTCACACCTTTCCTCTCTCTACACTCCCAATCTTTACATCCTGACTGCCCACTTCCTCCCACCAACTTAGGATCCATCCACCCATAATGTCACGATTCACATTCTCTTTCAGGCAAGATTTCCTAACCACCTGGCCCAAGCGTTTATCCTTCTTCTGAGCAAGGAAGGCTTTATATCCCTCCTAGAGTCCAGCCTTCAGGTAATCTATGCTGGTTGGTTGATTTTACAACTTCCTTCATCACCACCACCCTTCTCCCCACCACGTTATATGGAAAGGATTTTACAGGCACTTAATTCACTTTTTCATTCGAAACACATTTATTACTTAAGTGTTTGTGCTTGGTGCATGGTGATTCAAAGATACGAGATTAAAATCTATCAGGAGGTGACACACAACTAAGATGTAAGTGCAATAACAGAACCATGTTCAGAGGAAAATGAAAAAGGAGTATCAGTCACTTGTACAGGAAAGACACAGAGGGTCAGGAACCAGAAACGCTGAGGCAACGAATACATACAGAAACAAGTACACACAGAGACTTCTCTCTGGGGGCATCAACAAGAGTCTCCTAGGAGGCGGGTGAGCTGTCGGGCTAAAGTGTTCCTCAGAGCACTCACACCTTGCAGCAAAAGGCTCCTGGAGTGATGCTATTTTGTGAGCATTCCTTCCTGAGAACCTATTAAGTGCCAGTAACTGCTCCACTGTTGTAGCCGGGGATGTAACAGTCAAGTCAACAAATATGTAAATAAATAAATAAGCCTGAGAATTTTAGCGATAAGGGTTGGAAAGAAAACAAAACAGGATCATGGGACAGAGCATGATAGGGAAAAGTCTGACCTTTATCCATTATTCTGCCGATAACAGGCAAGATATCCTACACTCAGTGTGGGATATCAATCCAATGGCCCAAGATGGCTTTTAGTTAATAAAGACCACAAAACAGCCCTGAGGGGGTGAGTGAATGAGTGATTGCGCCGGCAGGTGGGTGGTGAGAGAATGTGAAGGCCTAGGACACTACTGAATTCTTCTGTAGACTTTATAAACACACTTAGGCTATGCCGAATTTATTAAACATTTTTTTTCTTCAATAATAAATTGACCCTAGCTTACTGTAATTTACTTTATAAACTTAATTTTTCAAGCTTCTGACTCTTTTGTAATAACACTTAGCTTAACACTTTGTACATCTGTACAAAAATATTTTTCCTTGAATATTTTTGTATTTTTATTTATTTTCTAGCAAACCATTCTGCCAACCAAGAAGTGTTTTTCTTGATATTCGAATTATATGGGGTTTTGTTTTTTAAATCTTTTTTACTTTTTACTTTTTAAGCTTTGTTAAAAGCTAAGATAGAAACACACACATTAGCCTAAGCCTACACAGGGTCAGGATCATGAAGATGTCACCAGGTGATAGGAACTTCTCAGCCTGACCGTAGTCTCAGGGGGACTGTCCGTGAGAGCCGTGCTGATGGAGACCTTGTTATGCAGCACGTGACTGTATTTCTCTCTTCTCCCATTAAAGGCTAAGAGAGCCTACGACGGAGCAGAACAGCTTGGAAATCATCCTCAAATCACTAATTCCAATATCAATTCCAATATTTTATAAGCCTTCCCCCTACATTTTGCTCCTCTTTATTCAAATTCAGGTTCAATGAAAACCAATCTGGGGATATTTCTAAAGGGTAAGGTCCACAAGCTCCATCTTTGCTTGGGTTCTGTTGAGCATTTATGGTCTTGGACTGTGTACCCTGTAGGTGCCGTGTCTGGAAAATGCATCACTGTGGCCTGTGGAGTGGAGGGAGGATGGAAGAGACGCGAGAAATCAACTCTTCTGAAATTCAGAGTCCTTCCTAGTCTTCCGAGGAAAAACTTCAGCATCAAAAGAACCTCATTATCAGCCGGGTGCGGTGGCTCACGCCTGTAATCCCAGCACTTTTGGGAGGCCAAGGTGGGAGGATCACGAGGTCAAGAGATCGAGACCATCCTGGCCAACATGGTGAAACCCCGTCTCTACTAAAAAACAAAACATGGAGCGATTTGTCTGGTTAATTCTGATAACAAAACAGGAATTAGCTGGGCGTGGTGGTACGTGCCTGTAACCCCAGCTACTCCGGAGGCTGAGGAAGGAGAAATGGTTGAACCCAGAGGTGGAGGTTGCAGTGAGCTGAGATCGCGCCATTGCACGTCTGGTGACAGAGCGAGATTCCATCTCAAAAAAAGAAGAACCTCATTATCCTTTCTACCTTTTGGTGGGACAACCATTTCAGGCGTGTCCAAGTTATCGAAGTGAAAACTGCAGGAGAACTCCTTGAGAAAGGTGGTGATTTCCTATTTATCCTCAGACTTCTACCATCTCGTTCAATGCAAATCACAGATCACAAATGTTTATTAAATGGACAATTTTTTAAAGTACTCAATAACAGTCAAAAATGTTTGTTGAGAGAATTCTCCTCTGTGCCAAATAACAAACAATCCTCGAGAAACTGGCAGCAAACAACATCCAGAAAGATGTTAGTCCCAAGAGGCTGCCAGTGTCTCCAAGCTAATGTGCCCACAACCACACTGGTCTTTGCTGACACGGCCTGGAAGCGCTGGCAAGCCCGTCGAACCCACTGAATTCTACCCACCAAGCACTTTCTCTCCACTTTTTCTTCCAACTCAAAGCCAATTTATGACACATGCTTCTAAGCAACGCCCAGATACTCCATGAAGTACATAACCTAGAAAGAGAAGTGGCAAAAAGCATGCCAGATGCCCTCTCTTTTCAGGGCAGGAGAAAAGAGGGAAGGAGGGATCTTGGGAAGAAGGATCTAGGCAGGCCCAAGCCCTGAAGCGGCCCACCCTGCGGCTCCCACTAGCGTCCAATCCAGACTCCAAGCCTTTGAACAAGCAAGGCCTCTTGAAAACGCAGGCGGGGGTGGGGGGAACAGGAAGCACCCCCGCCTCGCTTCACTCGGGGGTCACCCAACCCAGCATCGATCCAGCGGCCGCTCGCCAGCGCGGGGAGGACGCGAAGACACGAACGGGTACGTCCGCTCCTCTCTGCCACCCTCCCGGGGGCGGGCCGGTGAGTCCTTCCCCGCAAGCCTGGCTAGTCTGCTGGGCCTCCGCCCGACCCGCCCCGCCTCTCCCGAGCCAGGCTCTGGGATCCTCGGGAGGGAGCGGGCGGCCCCGGGGCCTTCCAGTCCTACCTTCCCCGACTCTCTGGGCTCCATGGCCCCGCTTTCGGAGGCCCGTGCCGCCCCCTCCCCCCGCG